GTGCCGATCCTCTTGGACACTTGGCAGGCAGGAGAGGAAAGAGCATCCCCCACCCCTACCCTCATGCATTCCTTTGTCTCACGCTGTAAAGGAAGGGAGGGAGTGTCCTGTTGACATTAATTTTTAATCCCTTTTGGTTGGCAGTGAAGTAGAAGAGAGTGGCTGCACAGCTTCCTCAGTGTGTACATTTGTGTAAATATTAGTATTTATTAGTAATTAAACTTCTGTGTTAGTCTATAAGCCATAATGCTGACGGTTATCTTTTTAAATGAATGCATTCTAATATGCCTGGGAATCGGACAAAGACAGTGTCAAATACATCCATTAATAAATAACATCAATACTGTGCATTTGTAAGGCTGAGAATTTTTTTTAACTTCAAAGAGGAGCCTTCATATCCATGATCTCACTTCACACTACATATTATTATTTTGAAACTCCTCTCCAGGGACGGGTTGTTCCACGCATGCAAAGCTGGCAGGGTGAGGATAATGAAGGCGCGCCCCAGGCTAACTTGACAGCATTCGCATCGTGGACCAGGGCGCATGCCCATGGGGTCCCCTGGGGTCTCTCCCTGCTTGTTTCAAAACTAAGGCAAAGATGAAAAAATACACTAATTTCAAGCTGTGCTCAGAGCATACACGTACACTCAGGGCATGAACAGGGGAACTAAGGAAATGAGGCTACTTTAAGGACAGTCTTGGGAGAGTCTACAAACAATGAGGCATGGATGTGACTTCAAACTAATGCCAGGCATCCAGAAAGCCCAGAAACCTTCTGTCTCTTGGGACTGCAAAGTCAGTTCCTGTTACTTAAGTACACGGTCGACTTTCTGGTCTTCAACAATTTCTCAATGCACGTAAGATATTTTTACATATTCTCACCTAATCATTTAGCATTTTCTATATGACTTCCTCTGGAGTGAAAGCCCCACATCACTGTTTTCCCTAAGGCTGGAACGTGGACCACGGGAGGGCCCTTACTCTGAATTTGTTAGAGGGGCATTTAAAAAATATTTCAAGTAGAAGCCTAGCGGGGAGGACATAGGTCAGTTGTAGAGTGAGTGCTTAGCACGCAGGAAGTCCCAGGTTCAATCCTCAGTACATCTGTTAAAACAATAAATAAACCTAATTATCTGCTCCCCCAAATTTTAAATTAGTTAAAAAAAAAGAAGTCAAATTAAAAAAATCCTTGATGGTGAGACTCTCCCTTCTTCCTGTCCATGTTGTTCTGAAACCAACCACAGTGTTTCCACTTCACAAGAATTCAGGCTGTGTCACCGTCCCTCGAGTGGACACTGCACAGATTGCTTTGGAATCTCCTTCCTGGATATTTGATGAGACAATAGGATACTGTAGGTGGTGGTAAATTCTTTCACCTCAGTTACTTACAAGGCAGAAATAACTAACCTGTGATTAACTATTTTAATTCTTTTATTTTCAAGGGTAAGTGGAAGGACTAGTAACCCCATTTACAACTACCAGTTGGTCCCCCCACTTTGTCATCCCAGCCCTGCCCTCTGGAATGCTTTGACACAGGTTTAGTTTCTTACTAGATCCAGATGCCCTTGAAGAATTAGCCTCACCTTGCCTGCTCTTTTGAATAGAGCTCATGCTGTGCCTTTCCATGCAGTGGGCACACAATTAATACTGAATAAATATAGCCCAACATCCAACATTTGGTGTCTCTGGGTCTCAGTTTCCTCTGCGTAAAATAAAAATACTGGCAAATTATTGCTTATATATCTCTGCTGGTCTGAACATTCTATGGAGCCTTTTGGATAGCCTTTTATTATTATTATTATTAGCATTTTATTAATGTATAATCAGTTTACAATGTTGTGTCAATTTCTGGTGTACAGCATAATGTTTCAGTCATACATGTATATACATCTATTTGTTTTCATATTCTTTATCATCATAGGTTACTATAAGATATTGAATATACTTCCCTGTGCTATACGGTAGAAACTTGTTGTTTATCTACTTTATATATAGTAGTTAGTATCTGCAAATCTCAAATTCTCAATTTATCCCTTCCCACCTGCTTTCCTGTCTGGTAATGATACATTTGTTCTCTAGGTCTGTGAGTCTCTGTCTGTTTTGCAAATGAGTTCCTTTTCTTAGATTTCACATATAAGCAATATCATATGGCATTTGTCTTTCTTTTTCTGGCTTAGTTCACTTAGAATGATGATCTCCAGGTCCATCCATGTTGCTGCAAATGGCGTTATTTTCTTCCTTTTTTTTAGCTGAGTAGTAATCCATTGTATAAATATACCACAGCTTCTTTATTGGATAGCTTTTTAAAATGATCTCCCATCTCCAAAGTTGTTTCTAAGCAACAGGACAGTATTTCCCTGAACTTCTTGTTTGACCTCTTCAGCCCACAAAGATGTTTCTGGCTGAGCCTACAGCATTGCAGCACCGCATTATCTGTAACCCATATATATTATTACCTGGTGACACATCTCAAGTTGTTACTTAGGTCTTCATCTGTGTAGGTCCTGTCCTTACAATTACAGTGTAAGCTTCCCAAACCAAATACCTTAGAAAACGTGCTTTGCAAATATTTGTTAAATAAGTAGATATCACATCAAGAAATCTTAATTCTATCGAGAGGGAATTCTCGGCTTAATGGAAGCATAGGAATCAAGGATAAATCTCTAGTTTGGGAAACTTGGTGTGTGATGATGCTGTTCTTCAAGAAGGGAATCCTGCAAGATGAACAGGTCTGGAGGAGGGAGGGGCGGGGGTGAATTTAGTGATGAGTTGCATTCTATACCTCCTTTTTGGAGATTCTCGAAGAACATTAGCCAAGTAACAATTTTGAGACATGAGATCCTGGCCAAAGGAACATATTTTACTGTTAAGCCAAGAGATGCCCAAATAATTGAACATGATTTTGGAAACACTGGTATAACATAAGGAGAGAGGCAGGACTAGGAAGGAAGCCTGCGGAACAACGAACTTTTAAGGAATGGCAGGAGGAATTTGACAAGGAGCATCCAGAGAAGTAGAGGCAGTTTTCACCCCTTGGCTTAATCCTGGCTCAGTCCTTCCATGGATACAGGGAGAAACTGAGTCCTGTCTCTTGCCATGGAACAGGAGAGCCTATGGGCTATGTGCAGAGTTCTTTGGAAGAAAGAAGACACTGAAGCACTTCCAGTTCCAATTCTCATCACTCTCTCTTCTCAAAGAACCCACCCTCTTTGCTAAAAGGAAGGCCATATTAACACACTCAAATCCAAGCACATGAGAATAATCCAACATTCACTCTTGTAATGATAATGAATCATCTTAACTTAGATCTGATACAGACAAAGACAACACAAAACCTGAACAACACAGAAAAATAATCGGAATGGGTTATCTGACTCACTCCCTGTCATCTGGGACTATCTTCAAACTTCCCTTTAATGTTTCATTTCAATCTCAACAGCGTCATGTTTTTTCGTTTTCGTTTTTGTTTTTTAATTCAGTATGGAAAGTTGAGAAAGGGTGAAAAGGATGAGCACGGGAAAATGCAAGGCAATAGTTTAAGTAGGGCTCATGCTGGTGGGATTCTACTGTGGTGTAGCCACTTTGGAAAACAGTTTAGCAGTTCCTTAAAAAATTAAACATGAAATTACCACATGACCCAGTAAGGGGTATGGGATTTCTTTTTGGGGTAATGAGAGTGTTCTAAAATTAAACAGTTGGGATAAACGCACAATTTTGTGACTATACTAAAACCACTAAATTGTACACCTTAGAAGGGTGAATTTTATGGTTTGTGAATTACATCTTAATAAAGCTGTTATTTAAAAAAAGAACAGGTAGAGGATCTGAGCAGATATTTTTCCAAAGAAGACACACACATGGCCAACAGGTACATGGAAAGGTGCTCAGCATCACTAATCATCAGGGAAATGCAAATCAAAACCACAATGAGGTATCACCTTACAGCTGCTGGAACGGCTATTATCAAAAAGACAAGCAACAACAAGTGTTAGCAAGGATGCGGAAAAAAGGGAAGGCTTGTGCACTGCTGTTGGGATTGTAAATTGGTACAGCCACCATAAGAAACAGCATGGAGGTTCCTCAAAAAATTAAAAATAGAACAACCATATGACCCAGGAATTCCACTTCTGGGTATTTATCTGAAGGAAACAAAAACACTAACTTGGAAAGATACATGCACCTGTATATTCACTGTAGCTTCGCAGTAGCCAAGACATGGAAACAAATCTAAGGATCCATCAATGGATGAATGGATAAAGAAAATATGATATACATATATGTATCTATACACAATAGAATATTACTCAGCTCTAAAAAAAGAAGGAAATCTTGCCTTTTGTGACAACATTAATGGACATTGAGAGCATTATGCTAAGTGGAATAGGTCAGACAGAAAAGACAAAAGACAAAGATCTCACTTATGTGGAACCTAAAAACAAATAAAGAAAAACTGAACTCACAGATACAGAGAGCTGATTGGTTGTTGCTGCCAGAGGTGGGGGGTGGGGGGTGGGGTGGATGAGTGGAAGAAGGGGGTCAAATGATACAAAACAAACTTCCAGTTATAAAATAAATAAGTCCTGGGAATGTAAAGTACAGCTTGGTGACTCTAGTTAATTATACTGCATTATATTTTAAGGTTGCTAAGAGAGTAGATCTTAAAAGTTCTTATCACAGGAAAAAAATATTGTTTAGTATGTGGGGTGATGGTTGTTAACTAGACTTAATGTGGTGATCATTTCAACATACATACAAATGTTGGCTCATTATGTTGTGTACCTAAAACTAACATAATGTTATATGTCAATTATATCTCAACAAAAAGAAGAAGAAGAAGAAGAAGAAGAAGAAGAAGAAGAAGAAGAAGAAGAAGAAGAAGAAGAAGAAGAAGAAGAAGAAGAAGAAGAAGAAGAGGAAGAGGAAGAGGAAGAGGAAGAGGAAGAGGAAGAAGAAGAAGAAGAAGAAGAAGAAGAAGAAGAAGAAGAAGAAGAAAATGCAAGAAGAAACATTCTCCAAGTCTTAGGAAATCAGTGATTTGTTGTTTGCTAGCTCTTCATCCCTCAAATGCTCTATCAGCAGCGGTTTACCTCCACAGCTGTGTGGCAGCTGAGAGTCAGTCTTATCCCCCGTTCCTTTTTTTTTCCAGAATAATTTGAGGTGGTAAAATTAATCAATCTAGAATCAAGATTTCTTTTCCTACTGGAAGTGCAAATAACATCCAACTGCTAGTTTCTGATAGATGTAGACCCAGCTTTGTCTTGTCATTTCTACAACGTCAGAAAGGACATGTTTGTTTCCGTAGTTTATCTGTACATTTCTTAGGTCACTTTTCTAAAAGTCAGGTTTGTTAAGGTATAATTCATATTCAGTCAAAATCACCCTTAGAAGGTTTCCAATGCAGAGACTTTTGTGAAAGTTTACAGTCATGTAATCACCATCACACTTGAGGCTGTTTCCATCACCGTAAAACGTTCAGTCACATCCTTTTTAGTCACCCCCCTTTCTCCACGTCCGGACCCTGGCACCCCGCCCTCATTTTCTTGATTTCTGCCCTCGGGGATGTCCTCAATCCCTGTTTTGTGTTCTCATCCATTATCTTGAGGTGGAGCTCTACCAGGCAGGATCCTGCTTTGTAACCCAAATGTGGTACCTGGCACCTAAAAGGTACTGGGGAAATAGGTGCTTAATAAATGAACGAATCCCTTGTTTTTTAGATCTGCCAAATCAAACCAAAGACTCTGCTCTCTGATTTCTAGAATGTACCATTTGAAAAGGGACTATTAATGTCGGGGAAAGCTTTTTCCCACTGTTCTAATTCATACAGTTTTTTTTTTTGAGAAATGGGCCATAATGATTTGTAATTTCAGAGATTTTGCTGGATATTGCAAACATTTCCTTAGACTTGGGGCTTACAACCTTGTTTACTCAACCAACATGGGGACCTCTACCCTCTCAACCTGAATAAACAGATGGAAATGGAATCTGGGACCAAACGCATCTGCTGCTCTCTCATCCCGGCTTGGCTCTCCTCCCGGCTTGGCTCCCCATCTCTGATCCCTCTGGCTCTCTGATTCCCTCCGCCTCTTTGATCCCTCCGCCTCCGCGGGGCGTGGCCCACGCTCTTATCCTGCGCTTCCTGGAATAAGTTCTGTAAGATTCCAGACTCACTTTATGAAGGGCTCCAGGGGTGGAATCTGACATGATCTGACGTGGGCTTAATCTTTCTCATCATGCAGGGTGTGGGCCTGTAAAAACCCACCTCTAGCTGGCTCCTCAGGTAGGCTTAGATTCCTTTGATCCTTCCTGATCTCATTCCTCTTCTGACTTGGTGTGCATCCAAAAGTTGACGTTGCTATAGCAATTACAAGAAGCAGCGAACAAAATCCCCCTGGTCTGATCAGTTATTTGAAATGGCCTAGTCCTCCAAGGGAACTGTCCTTTCTCGAAAGGCGTCGGTGCTTTCCTCCAGGCTGGTCTGTTGCCCCTCGTAGATGGGTCCCTGTGCCATTTCTATGGGTTGGCAGCCCCCTGCTGTGCCCTCTGCTGGCAAAGCCCCGACAGCGCCGGCACACGGCACACGGGAGACCACATTTTCCGTCTAGGGAGGTTGCACCTTGCCTCTCAGACGAAGTCTTTGGTGCTCGTGTCAAACATCTTCCAAACGAACCTCATTCCTCTTTTTTCTCCTTTGTCCTCACTTTTTGCCCTGTGGCTTTCCAGGAGCAGCTTTGGTGGAGGACAGTTCCTGCCCCTAGGAGACCGTGCACTATGGAAGTGTATCCCTGCCAAGCCTTGCAAGGGGTGAAGTCCCGATGCGAGGGTAAGCTGTTTGCTGCTAGGTAAACAAAACTCCAATAAGGTGGTAAATTTGGACAAGTGGAGTAATTGTGTAGTTCCTAACCCCGTGGACAGATAAACTAGTACTCAATGAAAGGAAACCAAAGAAAGAGAGAGAGAGGGAGATTGGAATGGGTAAGCTTCAGAAAAAGTGAAAAACAAAAAGGAAAAAGATAAAAAGAGGGGTCAAAGCGGAGGAAAGCGTATATTCTCCAAAATGATCTTAAAGTCGTGACTCTCAGACTTCTGTTTTATTACTACCATAGTGAGAAATGTATTCTGCTCCACGCAGGGCGCGCACACACACGCACAGATGTAAAAAAGAAAATAGAATATTCCTGCCGGCCAGAAAGTGGATTTCATTGCTGTCCGCCGGACTGTGCAGGAGAAAGAGAACTAGGGCTGGGGGCCTAATAAAGCTTGTTTTTTTTTCACAACTTAAAAGAAAAAAAGGAGAAGGGGAAGGAGGAGGAGGAGGGCAAAAAAAAAAAAGGAAGAAAGAAAACAAATTTGCGCGTGGCCAGCTAGAAGCGTGGGAAACTTGCTTCTATCATACCTCGGTGCATGTGGCGAGGGTGCGCGAGGGCAGCGCGCTCCGGTCCCTGCCCCGTGCTGAGTCAGACGCTCGGCCGGCCGCGGGTCCCCCGGGTCGCCGCCCCTGCAGGGGAGGAGGCGGGCAGGCGGGGCTCCAGGCTCCCTGCGGAGTCTCTTGCGGCGGCGGCGACAGATCCGGACGCGGCGCAGGATGGAGGCTGACGAGCGGGGATGCGTGTCCGCGTGGTGGGACATGGTGGTGCGGAACCTGCGGTGAGTGCGCGCCGCCCCTGTGCGCCCGGGGCTGGAGGCCGGGCACTGGCTCCAGGGCTTTGGAGGCTAGTAGGTATTTTTCACTTCCTCCGGTGAATCCTTGTCTTAAGCGGTAATCTCAGGCCACCTGAATGGACCAGCAGTGTACTGCCAGTCTTGTTTGCACTGAAGCCGAGGCATTGGTTGGAGACCCTGGACTGGGTATCTTGTTTTGTTGTTTTGTTTTGGTGTGGGACGATATTGGCAGTTTTGTTTACCTTTCTTCTTTGTATTCCTTTGTCCTGTTTAATTTTTGCTGATTGCAAAATATCCAAACATCACACCCAGACACAGAAGACTTCACTTTGGAACATCTGAGTGGTGAAGACCAACACTGATGTCTTTTTTCTCTTCCTGCTCTAGCTGAGCGCAGGGAGCAGACAGCAGCCCTCCCCTGGTCTAGCCCAGTGGCTGGAGCCCCGCTTCTGTGTTGGATCTGTACACAGGTCAAAATGTCCTCACCCGCTGCACTTCTCAGACTTCACATTCATGGGCCTGACCTCCCTGATTCAGTTGTTCTGGGAAGGCTGGCGTTTACCACCCTTTACTTTTGTGCTCTTTATAGAGAGGATGGATGGTTATTTAACATTTATTTGATAGAGAATCAAAGCTGCAGTTCTCTCATCACTTTTTTAAATCACTCTCTTTTATCACTTCATTGATAGTGGAGTGGGAGATGGAGTTGGGGACCTTCTATTCCTTGCCTTCATAATTACTAAAAATAAGTCTCAAGATGCTTCTTGAAAGAATAAAATACTTGGGCATTTCTTCATCTGAGCAGAAAATGACTGATCTAATTTAGGCTGTGCTGAGACACAGACTGACATCCAGCATCCTGAGTTGATTTTGTTTCTTGGAGCAAGGTAGTTCAGAGCAACAGAAACTCATGGAGGGCTTGATGTGTGCCTGGACTTGCCTGTAGCACTGGATCTACTGTGATGTGTTGTGAGACCCAAGGGCCATATTTAATCATGATATTTTTGGTTGGGTTTGTTGTGTGTGTGTGTGTGTGTGTGTGTGTGTCTGTGTGATGCTTTGGAGACCTATTTATTTATTTTACAAAAATCTCATCAGATAGGGTTGCTTCTTAAGATGGATGGGCCCAGGGGAGTAAATCCCCACTTGCAACTGATTTTCTTCAAATTAGAAAAACAAAAACCATGCTCAGGAAGTAAGTTGGGGGAAGCCAAAGGGCTATTTTCCTCTTAATTTTTCCATGTTTCACTCCAAGGCTTTACATTTTCAGTTACTACTTAGAAAATCCCCATGAGAAGGCTGATAAACTTCTCCGTTCGCGCCACAGTATTGGTCATCTGGTACCTCTCAGGCACTAGTCTCGGACCTGGGCCCACAGTCATAAATAAAACAGGCAAAACTCCTGCTCTTGGGGAGCTCACGTTGATTAATTTTCAATTGTAATTCAAAAAAGAGAAGGAAGCCTTCCCCTACCCCCCAAAACTATCCATCAGCCTTGCTTCCTTCTCCCTTATGAAAGAAATACACTTTTCTTTGTGTCCTCAACCTATTATTCATCGAATATTTATGGTACTCAGCTCTGTGCTAGGCAGAGTGGATTATAAAAGCAGCATTATATGCTCCATGGTTCTTGTCATGGGGAAGATGGGAAGACCTGTCTAGAGAGGCTTTGACAAAGAAGGGACACGTCAGTGGATGTGAAGGAAAGGGAGGATTTGGTTGGGAGGAAAGAAGGGAGGAGAACACAGACATGATGGTGCTTGGTGAATGGTTGTGGAATGAATGCCATAGGATGGATGTGCAGCATGATTTAATATTTGCAATCGTCTTGACAAGTGTGGTTGGAGTCGGGCTTCCCAAAGCTGGTACCCCTGAGCAGGAAGCAGGAATGATCTGTCCTGTAGCACCTCCAGCTTCACCAGGCTTCACCAGTTAAGAAGCATCCAGTTAGGTTCTGTGGGCCCAGTGGGAGGTGGTGCAGTTACAGCCACAGCTGATCAAAGGGCAGGCAAGAGAACACCATAGCATCAAGGTGGCTGTTTGATGTGCTGGCCCTGAGCGGGGACTGGGCTGAAACTGCATCCTCCGCTCAAATAAGGTCTATTAGCCACTGGTGACTTTTGATCCCCTATTGATCTAGGGGAAGTCAAACTGACAACCCCCTAGTTAAAAGGAGCCGCTGTGCATTATTGATGCTCTGAGGGATCTGGTCACTCTGTTCTCTTCCCGCAGTGCTTCTCACAGAAGTGCCTTGAGCTATTTGAGAGAGGGGTTCTGTATGAATTATTCTTTAAAAACAGAAATATATTTCCCTCTATTGCCTCTGCTCGGAAAAGCACCCTACTACTTTCAAAAGGTGACTTAGTGGGAGACTAACAGGCAGCGCAGCGGGAGTTCAGAGAATCAGGAGAAAGGAAGCCGGAGCCGGAGCTGGCCGACTGGAAGGAAGCATGAGAATTCAGATTGCGTTCAGTGCTGCCTGTTTGGGCTTGATCTGTGGCTCAAAGTGGCTTCTCTGGGTTTTGATTTCTTATCTCGGAAATCAGAACAACAGTGTCTTCTTCCGACCACCTCATGGAGGCTATTTTAAAGTATTATGAAACAGTCATTTTCATTTCTTTCTTGCTGATTTTATGAGCAGGCAGTTGCCCAAGGCTGATGTATTGGAAGAGCTGTCCATCACCCTTAGCCCACTTATCTTTTCCACTCCCTGTGGAATTGCTGGAAATCTATCAGAGATTTCATTATCTTCTGCCTCCGTGCCTTTCCCAAACATGTATGAGTGCTCTGATTTTTTTAAGTTATTAACACTTGAGGGAGAATGTTTTTAGAAGTCCTTCTTTGATGACTTTGGTATCCAAAGGCTTCTGAGAAAATGGGAGCAGGAAGGAAGCAGATAGTGGAAGGAAAGGGACCTCAAGAGGGGCAAGGGTGCAGAAGGGGAGAAAGGGTCCCTGAAACAACTTTCTGTAAAAGCTGCATTTTGCAAGAGCTCAACTGTGTTCTTGGGGCTCATTTTTGCTTCAAGGAGGACAAGAAGAACTCATCAGGACTGTGACAGCTCATTGGAGGTCATCGTGGGACTCCAGGGTCACACAGACCTCATGGGGCTCTGCCATTCATTGGCTGTGTGACCTTGGGAAGGGTACTTAATTTTTCAGTCTCCTCATTTGCAAAGTGTAGGTCATAACAGTTATCTTCTAAGACGCCTCACATCTAGCAGAGAAATCAGGGCAGGAGAAACAGTGCATCAGAAATGCTTTCCAGCCCCCACACCGTCACAATTTGATTGCACTGACTGTCTTCACATTGTTCACAGTAGGGAAAGGGATTAAGCTAATGGATGACATGGACAAAAACTGGGAGCAGGAGATGGTGACACTTACCTCCTGTGTCCCTTGTTTCTCAAAGATAGGAGGCCTTCAACCCTCATGAGAGATGTGACTAGAGAGAAAGGTGGCAGGAGTGAGCCCTCGGGGACAAATCATAACTTGTCTGCTGGTGGCTCCCTGTTTGGGTGGCTCCCGTCACGGAATCAATGGGATAAACAATATGTATGTGGCCCCTCATGTCCCATTCCCTGACCAGACCCCAGCCCTGCTATAGTCAAACTCCAAGACCCCCTTCCCCATGCCCCACTCTTCTCCTCACAGCCCAGCTCACCAGGGATGTCACCTCAGAGGTGGCGGTTTTCTCTCATTGGTTCATTTCTTCCCAGGACCCAGCTGGAAGACGGAGAACCTGATGATAATTCATTCACTGCTTTAGGTTAATAAAATAGCTAACATTTACAGCACTGACTTGTGATGTGATTAAAAAGTGTGGCACCTGTTAAACAGTCTGAATCCTGATTCCTGATGGTGTTAGGGTCCCACCTTGGCCTTCTGTGGGCTATACCGAGGGCCCAAGTCTGACTCGAGTGCATCCATGTCCCCTGCTCTCCTGTCCTGGATCTTCTGAGTAGCTGGCTGGGGCCCTGGCTCACTGCTTTCCTCTCCTGGTTCTCCCTTAGTGCCTGGTCCTCCCTTAGTGCCTGGTCCTGATCTGCCCTCATTACATATAGTTCTGTAATGGATTTCGCCTCAATGCCAACTTACCTGTAATTCCTCTTAGTCTCTGAAATTTTATTTGGCCACTAAGAGAAAAAACAAACCAAGACAAAACATGGGCTGATTTTGAATACCTTGCTTGTTTCACGATGTCTTGCAGAGCTTTTCCACATTCCTGTTCAACACTTGGAAGAAAAATTGCCTCTCTGTGTGAAAGTTTTACCAGTAAATCATTAAAAGAACATATTTTCCCTCCTATGATGCACATCCTGGTTTTTCTCAACTTTTGTAAGTATGTGCCTTTTGTGAATCTGCCTTTATATTTTTTCTCCAAATAAAGAATTCACTGCCCTTACAGTTATGACATAATAAAGAAGATATGTCAGTTATAAAATTGTGCCAGACTTAAATGGTCTGAAGCTATTTAACATCTGCTCTGGGCTCTAGCATGAATCCCTGCAAACTGTCAGGGTGGAGAGAGAAATATGGCCTTGAAGGTGGGGGGGGTCTCAATTCAGGAGCCCAGTCTTCAAATTAGCTGTTCCTATAGATAACCTTCTGCCTCCTATACTTTCTGCTTTTTCACTTCCTCCTCCTGCCTGTATCCCTGGAAAGAGAAAGAGAAAGATATGAAGTTTCCCGTTTTTTTTCCTACTGAGTGCTGCACTAGTGTAACTGACAGTCCTTCTAGCGCACGGATAGTGCTCGCACCTGCATGGCTCCAGGTGTGTGCTGATCCTGGACCTTTCATGGCTTCTGGCTAATTAGGTTTTACTTAGTGGAGAGAGTAATTTTGACCTATGTAGCAGGATCGGCATCACCTTCTTCTAGATTCTCTTACCTTTTTAGGGAAAGGGTCTCCTTTGCGTTTAGCTTGAAACAAGAGTAAGGATTAAGTAAACTCTATTACAGGTTACCATGCTGGTTTTATTTTTATTTTTATTTTATTTTCTCTACTGGAGGTACTGGGGACTGAACCCAAGACCTTGTGCATGCTAAGCATGCACTCTACCACTGAGCTATTACCCACTCCCATTAGTGTTATCTTTTAAATCTAGTTTTAGTTTAGTTTAGTTTTGTGTTCCCAGGTCTTCTATGGGCTGGTCCTAGTTTATATAATAGAATACTTTGCTTGGAATTGAATATTGTAGCTTGCAACTTAGAAACATGTTAACCATGAGGCTAATTACTTTTTTCGATTGTGATTAAAAGACATGGAATTTAATTCTGGAAGTTGATAATGAATTCTACTTTCCAGTCAAAGCACCATTTCTCGTGGATTTGAAGAAACCCGAGTTAAAGATTCCTCACACAGTGAACTTCTACATCAAAGTTGAACCTGGGGTGATTCTGGGAATCTGGTGAGTGCACTGACTAGACACTGGAGTGCTTGGTGGATGGAGCTTTCGTGTTACCAGGGCAAGGGTGAGCCATGCTGTGTTACTTGCCTGTGGAGAGGTCAGTGTTCCTTGGGGGAGGCTGTTCCTCACATCTTCCCTTTGTAGTGATGTCTGACTTGCTTGAATTTGCTTTTCAGGACTCTTACTTCGGAGTGTGGGGTCTTTCAGGGGCTTTGGGCCTTTCACCAGGCCTGAGGGATTGGCCGGCCCCTCCCCTGCCTTACTCCTCACCCTCGTCCTGCTCTCTCCCAGGGCTTCTGGCTCCCAGCATAAAAGCCACGCTCTGTCTGCAGCCTTTCCCTCTTTGCTCCCTCTCTTCCCTCCTTTTGCCTAACTGCCCACCCATCTTTTGGATCTCAGTTGAAATGGCAGTTTTCAGGGAAGCCTTTTCTCATTCTAGGCATATGGTAATGCAACCGGTGATTGTCCTTCACGGCATTTATTCCCGCTGTAACTGAATAAATGTCTGTGCATCTCTGATTACTGTGCGTCTCCTTTGCGAGACAATAACTTCATAGGTGAAGGACTTTTTTGCGGGGAGGTTTCATTGCTTACCACGGTGCTTGGTACAGAGAGCACTCAATAAGTATTTGTCCAGCAAAGTCGTGAGCATCCTATTGTCTTTTTTGCTGTGCTAATTTCAATGTTTTCTTCTGTTTGGTTCTAATCCTTGTTCTTGGCTGCCGGTTTTCCAGTGCCCTGTTTTCTATTTCATTTCCCTGAATTTAAACATGTGATCACAGAATGTTTAGGAACCAGTATGGGTTCACGTAACTTCTCCCTAATCTGCAAGGTGCAGTTCCACTCAGAGTGCTGGAGTTTGAAAATATTTTTATTCTTTGCTCTTACCCCATCAGTCCTTGGTTTGAGGAGTCACCTGTCCCCTTGACTGGCTTATCTGGCTGGCAGTGATGCTGCTGAAGTACAGAGGCCTTAAGGTCTCATGTCAGACATTCTGCCTCTAAATGATTGAGGAACTGAAGATTCTATCTTCACGTGGCCAATTCTCTCTTCTAATGTGTCCTCTGGTGACATGTCATATGGCAGTGTTTGTATTATCAGGGTTAATTCGTTTGGCTCAACAAGGTGGAGGAACTGGAGCTAAGACAGGTGTTTAAAACCTGAAGGTCACTGGGTTTCTTGAGTAGAATAGCTTAGTTTCATGTTCAAGTTCTTTTCCCCTCCCTAAGCTGGTTTCCATTTCATTTCTTTCCAACTTGCTTCTTTAGCAAAACCAATTGCAGGTGGCAAATTATCTATTATTTTTCACTTGTTTCCACCCAGTGGATTGCATTTCAATAAACCACACCTAAGAACTGCAGCCTTGGAAGAGTAATCAGTGCAGGAGTCAGAAGAACGAATGCAGTGAACGGTTAAAGGGATTCTCTCTGGGCGTAGGGGAGTGGGGTAGGGGTAGGGGTAGGGCAGTAATGGTTTTCATTATAAGATATGTGTGGTATTGTACTTTAATTTTTACCAAGGGCATTTGCTCACATAAATATTTATATGTAAATATAGTCAATATTTACATGCAGTGATGTAATTGAGCATATATTTGAATAATTAATATATAAGCATATACATGTAAATATCTATATCTGATTGACCTCAGGAGAGTTTCAGACCTCAGCGAGGATGGAGAATTCCACTCTGTCTGTGTTGCTTAAAACCTTTCCTTGCTCTCTAGGCACACGGTTCCCAGGTGCTGGGGGGAAGTTGCCAAAGGGAAAGGCCGTGGCTGGTACGAAGCAGCCCTTCGTGATGGCCACCCAATTATTATTTATCTTCACGGCAGTGCCGAACACAGGTCAGTGCCTCTACTTGGATTTTTTTTTTTAAACAGAGTGATAGGGCATTTCAGCCCTGTGGGGGAATGAAGGGCAGAACGCTGTTTTGAATTCTGTAAGCATGCCTCCATATTTTTTTTTCCTTTGTTGAAATTTGAGAGTGTTCTGGTAATAGGCATCTCTTTTAATAAAATCTGTATATGCTATATGGAGAATAATGTGGATCTTTAACTGAAAGGGAGACTAACTTTCAAAATTTGGATACTGATTTCAAAGAAGGAAGGGGTTCCTGGACTCCCTGAGAGTGGTGGAAATGCTGGATTGAAGCCAGGGAAGACTGGTTAGGGAACAGGCATGAGGTATGGGGAAAAGGACGAGCAGTTTCCACCTCAGAGGTCCTTCTCGCAAAACTACATGGACCTTCCTTTATCTCTGTGGTCCCAATCTTGCTTTGTAACAAAGAGCACCGCCCCAACCCCTACCACTTCTTCCATATCTGGCTCTCTCCTTGCATGTGCTGCCCGGGTCCTCGGTGGGCCTGGGTCATCATGGTGGGTGACGAGTATCAGCTGTGACTGTGTCGCTCCAGGTGGGGGAGGGGCAGCGTGTCCTGGAGACCCAGAGACCTCACTCTGTCTCTTGGGGGACACTTCTGACTGAGTGATGTGCTCCGGAATCTGCCCCTTGGCTCCCTCGCCTCTGTCTCTTTTACTCACTGTCTTCCAGTCAAATGATGGCTTTCTCAAGACTGGCCTGTGCTCAAGGGGCTTTCTAGGAGTGTACGCTTCAGAGTCACATTTGCGGAGATTTCCTGTGAAATAGACATTTTCCAACATTGTTTGACGTTGTCGTGCTTGTGCTAGCTTGGGCATGGTGTGACATCATTTATTTAAAGGCTGGTGTGGATCACATATTCATCTCTGCCCTCTGAGTGCAGCCGCAGTTGCCCTCCGTTATCCAGCTGCCCCGTCCTCCCGTCCCTGCCGGAAGTGGCAGCTTGCTCTCAGCAGTCCTGAGCTGGAAGGAGGCCAAATGAGAGGCCACAGAGAACCTTGATGAAAACAGTGGTTCCAGACTTGGAACCGATAGGTGCCCCCCAGAGGGTCCACAAATTCCCAGCTCAAAATTTTACACAAAATTTGAAGGATGGATACATTTTTTTTTCTGGGAAATGGGCTGTAGCTTTAACTTCATGTTCAAAGGACTCAACAACACACTAAGGTTTTAGAAACTTGTCTCTAAAACAAAATTCAAATGGTTTTTTTTTTTAAAGAATTCTCTGCCCTTTGAATTATCTTCGTCTCTCCCTTTCATGTGGCTAATAGAGTAACGATGTGGTTGTTTTGGAAACAACCATTTGTTGTACCTCCAGGGCTGTTCACCTTGTGCCTCATAGCAGACTGGACAGATCTGAGTTTATGAACTTGATTATATTATCCTTTTTCTGAAAAGCCACTTTCTAGAACTGACTTTCCTTTAGCTACTAGAAGTATCCTTAGGACTAGGTTTGCTGTGTAGCAGTGAAAGGAGACGGACTGTCAGGAGTTTCTGACATGCCTACGTTGATAGGTGCCCCGAGGAAGGCAGCAGCCATGGGGGCTGTGGATCATCTGCCCCGACATGTGCAGGTGGGCTCTGACCCCAAGAAACATTGCCCTTTCTCCTAGTTGTTTGTCTAACCTGAAAGAGAAAGGTGTGAGAACAGATGCCAGCAGCGTGGCAGTGATTTTGATAAATTTGTCATGGTAATGCCTAATTCTTGCCCTTTTTGCTTTTAACCTCCTTTACAGGGCAGCTCCTCATAGACTTCGGCTAGTAAAGGTATGTGCAAAGAGGCCTCGAGGCACCGATTTTATGTCTCCATTTATTTGCATCTGATCTTCCTCAGCCCAGGCGTGGTTATCTACGGAGAACTCCAGGAGCGGGTGGTGGTGTCTGGAGCCTCACATCCCCTGAGTGCACCTCTCTTCCTACAGTGACCGTGGGGCATCGAAGCAGATGTGAACATCTCTGAGTCCCAAACACTTTCATGAACGTATTCCCTTTATCACCAGATGGAGTTGAAGTCACATTTATGTGCTTTTTCTGAGAGCTGGGGGAGGGGTTGAGAAAATACACTGAGTATGAAAGCCACTTCTTCTACTGGAACACCCTTTTTTGTGGTATGGGATGAAGACATAGGATGTCTGCTCATAAGTCATTCAGGCCCTGCTTCAGCCCCATCAGAGGTTCGGCAGAGGGAAGGTGGCCACAGGCTCCAGGTGGCTGGGGCAGCCCCGCATCTCCCGGTGCGAGGAAGGCGACAGGCTTTCCACGTGGCCGCGTCTGACTCAGCTGGCCGCGCAGAGCAGCTGATGCGCGCCCACACTCCAGTTAGTCATCTCTCCCTCAGGTGACCCAGCTGCTTGTCCAGTTTTTGACCCCAGGACCTGATCGCGCTCCCCACAAGCCAGCTCCCACCCCAGAGCCCTCTCCGGATTGAACAGCATTTGTGGGACCCGACAGACACCTTCTTCACCCCCCTCCCCTGTTCAGACAGGACGCTCCTCCCCTCTCTCCTCACTCCCAGCAGTGCTGCCTGAATGGAGTTGTGCCTGGGATGACGATGTCTATTAATTTTTAGATTTGCTTTCCACCCCAAACCCACTGTGTACTTCCCATGTGGAATGTTATGAAGCTGATGGCCGTGAGAATGTGTACTTTTTCTCCCCATCTACTCTTGGCAAAGCTGAATTGTATGTCTCCGTGTGCACAGAAAGGAGAAGAGCTGTAGGTGTAGGTGTGAAAAGTAGCCCGAGCATCCTTGTGGGAGTTGGGATGTTATAAGATTTCTTCTCAAGGCGGATCCTAGATACCACACTCCATAGTCACTATCTCCCAGTCTGACCAGACTTCCTTAGCCCTGAGTCTTCTTCTTTGCATAGGCAATTTCCTTTAAAAATTCAATCTTAATTATGAAATTGTCTTTCCTCCCTCCCTCTCTCATTCATTCATTCATCACTTCTATCACCCAATACAGCTATTTTTCATTTATTTGCATTCCCACGTAGTTTTTATCTCTACACAGTTTTTACATTACTATGATTGTATCCATAAGTTATTTTATGTTGTGCTTTTACTTAATACCAACATTTTTAAAACATTCTTCTATGTTTTTCTGTAGTCATCATAGTTGCCAATTTAAAGGGGGATCATTCTCTGTTATAGTTATAGACAGTTGTTTATTTACTTAAATATTCCACTGCTGTTGAATACAAGGTTCCCTGCCCCCCATTCATTTAAAATTGTATTGCTACAGAAAACTATAAGCAGTTGCTTTATTCTTCTTTTGGAATTTCTTCCTGGAGATGAATTCTGAGGAATAGAATCTGTGGCTTGAGTTACATTGTCAAGTTCATCTTCAGTTTATGGCACCACGGACAACACACAGGTGTTCCTGTTTCCCTGGATGCTGAACTGCCCCGGGTCTTGGATAACTTGTTGGGAGTGAATGCAGTATAAGAGGATACTAAAACATTCCATTTACTTCCTCATTCGTAATGCAGTTTGTATTTAAAGGTTCAGTCGCCCGCATCTCTGCAGAAGTAGCGGAGGCACAGTGTTTAGACACAGGCAGCCTCAGGTGTGAATCCTGGTCCTGCCGCTGCCATTCGGGTGGACAAGTTACTTCAACTCTCCAGAGCTCAGTTTCTTTATCCATGAAATGTGGATAATACTTCCAGTGTAGGACTGTTCTGAGAATTAAAGTTTTAAAGATGCCTGCACAGTAAATTTTTGCCCTCTTTTATCTCTATTTTCATCTATCACTGTGTTTTATTTCGTTTAAAATGCCATTTTTGTATTCTTTTCTCCTTTATTTGGGGCTTGGCAGTAGTTTCATATAATTAAGCAATCTATTTTTGATCCATATGAACTCTTTATCTATTCATACTTACTATAAACATCTCCCCAGTATTTGATTGCTTCTACTACAACTCTGTCTAGAGTTCTGATCCTCCAGGAAGTTCCTGAAGAAGCTGTTTACTAGGTACCAGTGTACTTAGTGTAGCATCTCATGCAATCTTCCAACAATCCTGAAGGCATTGCTTTCCATGACTCAGGATATTTACATAGCTAAATTTTACGTGGCTTTCCCAAGGGCACAGAGCCAGCAGGTGGCAGGGCCAGGGTGTGCCCCAGGCTTTGTGACCCTGCTCTGCCACGCTGCGCTCCTCCAGTCCCACTGAGTCTCAGCTTCTCGAGTTTGAAGTCAAACCCCAGGTTTCAGACATGCATCTTTCCCCTACCTATTAAACCACCACAACCAGGATTATGGACGTGTTTGAGGAGATTAAAACACCTTTCCTGTTTATATCTCCAAATTCAGGTGATAACAGCTCCTTTGTCATCTAGGTGCTGAGTGATGGCGGCTTTCACGTCTTGTCTGTTGACTACAGAGGTACGTGTTAGAAACAGTGTACAGAGACTTTCCAATAAGCAGGAGGCTTTTGATGACCCTTATTTTGGAGGTGGTGATACTGTGTTTGCCTTTTCTTGCTGCCAGGGTTCGGGGACTCGACAGGTAAACCCACGGAGGAGGGGCTGACTGCAGACACTGTTTGTGTTTATGAATGGACCAAGGCGAGAAGTGGTACCACCCCCGTGTGTTTCTGGGGCCACTCTCTGGGTACAGCGTAAGTAGGGTCTGGAGGTCCTAAGATTGGTCCCCAGATGGGGTTCTTGGGGTGTGAGTGTCGTATCAAAGGCAGCAGTGAGCGGGGGAAGGACCCCTGAGCTTGGAGATGGGGACTCTTCTCTGGTGTCTGTTACACCCCACAAGTGGCTAGTGACCTTAGCACTGCAGCGTGCCTTTCTGTAACACAAGGGAGGGTTTAGCTCTGTCATTATCTGTGACACTGAAGCCCATTCCAGAATGCTCCTTGAGAGTTTTAAATAAAAGGGTTCTTATTTAGGGCCAGTGGAACCCCTTGAAATCCTGTGCAAAATGTGTGTCTACATGCATTTGAGGGTCCAGAGCTTTCATTAGATGCTCATACTGGATGTTGCGTTTTGTACCATTTACTTGACTATAGAGTTACTGCTTTGCACTGGCACTCACTTTCATTGCTTTACAGAGTTGCGACAAATGCTGCAAAAGTTCTGGAAGAGAAAGGTACGATAAGATGCTTATATGGTATAATTTCTTGGCTTGAGGTGGGAAAATAAAAACAATCAAGAGACTATTGTGCATATGCTGAACTCAGAGATACCTAAAGCACCCCAACTTTAGGTCTAACAGACTTCCTTTTTTCTATTTAATATAAAACAATAGCTGCTTTTCAGAGTTATGAAATTGAAAGTAAATACTAGGAAAAGAGTTCAAATTACCCTGAAAGGGCCCTCATTGTGAAGAGATAATAAGTGTTTTTATGGAGTAATTTGGATTATAGGAGAGGAAATTAATACATTATGAAATAATAAGCAGGACTTGCTTTCTGCAGCCCTTCTTACATAATATTTATGTCCGTGTTTCTCAGAGTGTTCTGAGAACTGCCTTTATCAGAATCTCTGGGGGCGTTTGTTATTAACGTAAGTGTCCTGGATCCTGGCTGTTTTCATGAACTAGAATCTCTGTAACTAGGACCACGTGATGCTGATGCGCCTTAAAAGCTTACAAATCTCTTGCGTTATCTTAAACCTTATTTGGCAACACAGGTCAGACTGAATTGCGTAAACATTTTATCATCATATTATTTAATTATTTTATTTTGGCAGGGGATAGGGGAGGTAATCAGGTTTATTTATTTTTAGAGAAGGTACTGGGGATTGAACCCAGGACCTCATGCATACTAAGCATGCATACTAAGCATGCATTCTACCACTTGAACTAGACCCTCCACCCAGAATTACATAAGCATTTTAAAGCATGTCACCTGTGATACACAATCTTAATTACCTACAGACTTATTACTTACTTTAATAAAATAAACGTCACTTCAAGATTCCTATAAGCTCTCTCATAGCTCTCTGTGCACACCTCCTTCATGGTGTTGGCAATGCTGTATTGTCTGAACTGAATTCATGAAAAAGAGTACTTTGCTTCCTGGATCATGCATTATCTTAGAACATTTTATTTCCATTTGCATCCCGGATTTATGAACTCTTGCTACCATGTATTTTCATTTTCTCTCTACAAATACTCCATAAAACATTCTTATTCTGATAAAGTCAATATTTAGATTTACCCTTTTCTTTGTTCTTTATTACTTACAGCATCTCTGTGCTTCCCATCTGGGATTTTTGTCTGCCTGTCTGTTGGTGAAGAATGCTCTCAGTTTTGGCCTGAAAATGTCTTTATTTCATCTTAACTTTTGAAGGATATTTTCACTGGGCATAGAGTTCTAGGGTGGCAGTAATTTCTAAAAAAAACTTCTATTTTTGGTGGGGAGGTCATCAGGTCTATTTAATTATTTATTGTCAGATTCTTTTTTTCCTGATGGAGGTACTGGGGCTTGAACTTGGGACCTTATGCATGCTAACCACGCACTCTACCACTTGAGCCGCACGCTGCCTCTGGAGTGGCAATGGTTTTATTTCAGCCTTTTGAAGCTTTTGTCATCCACTTTATTCTGGCTTTCCCTGTTTTGTTAGGGAGGCAGCTGCCAGTCTTACTATTGCTCCTTTGAAGATAGTGTTTACTTTTGCTTTTGGTGATTTTGGGGATTTTCTTTTTGTCTTTGTTTTTCAGCATTTTTACTCAGATTTTCTTAGGTGTTCTTAAGTTCTTATCCTGCTTGGGAGTCATAGCACATCTGAACTGTGGCTTGATGTTCATCCATTTTGGAAGACTGCCGGTCTTTATATCCTCAAATATTATGTCTGCTCTGTTCTTTGTCTTCTCTTTCTCTGTGACTATAGTTATACGGAAATTTTTTAGATCTGTTCCTGTGGCCTATATGTCTCCAGTGTTTTTTTCTGAGTCTTTCAGACATTTTTCTCTTTGTGCACTAGTTTAAATATATTTATATATATTTTACATATTACACACAGTTCATTATATAAAATTTGACTTAATATTAAAATTTTAATAAATATTTTACTATTTTACCATTTGTTATTTTCAGTAAGTTAAAGTCTATATACGGTAACTCCAACATCTAGACCTTTTGGTCTCGGAGGGAGTGTTGGCCAAACAGCCTACTCAGTCTCTGCAGAACACTCCCTTCCTGCACTACTTTGCTTCCTTCAATTACCCAAGTCATGAAAATCTGCCTGTGTATGAGGGGAAGGTAGTGACTTTCAATGATCAGTGCAGAGAAATGAAATAGCTTTAGTGAGAGTGCTTGTTAAAATGCACATTCTCACACCCTCCACCCTCCCTGAGATTCTGACTTCTGACTCAAGTCTGAAGTGGGGTCATGAATTTGTATTATTAAGAAGATTCATAAATGATTTTGATGCAGGTAGTTCATGGACGAGACCTTGAGGACCCCTTATTTAGGAAAGATAGTATTTAAATATGGTAGAGGAGTTATTTCTTCTTTATTATTCTCAAGGATCTCCAGTTGATGCTATTATCCTGGAAGCTCCGTTTACCAACATGTGGGATGCGACCATCAATTATCCCTTGATGAAGGTGAGTCTCTGGTTCGTCTTCACAAGACGTCAAGACGTAGCTGTTTCCACACACTTCTGTTAATTAGCTATGGCCTCTTTCTTAACTAGGCTTATATATTTCTAAGTTACTCTAACTTGAGACAGGTTATTAGCCAGTTGCTAGTAAAGAGGGGCACAGTGGCTTTTGGATTTTATAGTCCTTTTATTTTCTCCTAATGGGTTGAGTGGCTTATTAAGGGCCAAAGGTCTTTTATTCCCCCCATGAACTAGACCGTACTTCTTATCTTTTTGTGTTGTTCTCTGTTTGGGATAATTAATAACACTGTTGCTATGAACATCCTCGAATGTCTGTAAATGTCCAAGTATTCACTGGCACATACCCTAGGAGCCGATGCTGGAAAATACAGTTCACCTCTAGTGGTTATTAGCACCAAGCAGTTTTCGCAGGTGACGGCCACTTTACTTTCCCACGTATTGTGTATGAGAGTTCCAATTGCTTCACAACCTGACCCTTATATTGATATCATCGTGGTTTTATTTACATTTCCCTGATAACCAAGGAAACTGGGTGTTTTTCCCCTTATGTTTATTAGCCATTTAGATACCATCTCTTGTTAGATACGTTTTCATGTCTTTTGCAAACATTTTTAAATTGAATTGTCCTTCTTTTTATTTGTCGAAGTTCTTTATAGGATGAGTCATTAGAAAATTACTTGTACTGCACATATATTCTACTGTTTTGTTTTGTCTCTTTCCTCCCTCAGTGGTTTCTTGTGATGAAGAGATGTTTCTAAATTTAATGTGATCCAGTTTACCATTTTTTATAGTTAATACTTTTAACAAGTGTCCTTTTATTTTTTTAAAGATAACTCTTCTATGCTACCTTCTAGAAATTCTGTTTTACCTTCTACATTTAGAGCTATAATCCACAGGTGTGGATTTTTGTATATATAAGAGATAATACCTACTTGTGTCGTCTGTTCTGTGTTCTTTTGCCTCTACTTTCTGGCTTTCTTCTGACTTGGGAGCTGCATCTCAAGGAGAAAAAGCGGTATTGAGTGTCAGGCTCACCTCTCTGGGCTTCCCTTCTCTCTGGGTTCTTGACCACTCAAGACCTCACTGCCTTGGTATGTCTCTGACTTCTTCCCAGAAAGTTAAAAAAAAAATTTTTTTTAAGAACCATGGCTTTGGTGCCAGACTTTCTGAGTTTTTCCCCAGGGGTGTCACTTAACAGTTATGTGACCTTAGACTAATGAGAGTTTTGGTTTTTTCAATCCTTAATTTAATCTAGATTCTTTGCCAGTTGTCTAATCTCTACTAACACAAACATTCAGTATGTTCAAACACATGGATGTTCTGTCAGTTTCATCTCCTGTTTCCCAGAGCCCTCTGGCCTGCTTCAGTATGGACTTGGTGTTCTCTAGGTCTGCTGTGCCGTTGTCATTGGGGAATCATCCTGGGGATTCACTTGCTTTCCTGGTTAGATCCTGTTCTTTCTCTTTTTTGGCATATTCCTTCATTCTGGTGGCCACATCCTCTAGTAGCCTTCTGAATAAGGGAGAGTCAAGTTAGTTTTTTTTTTTTTGAGATCCTTGCATGTGTAAGAATGTTTTTATTCTACTCTTTCACAGTTGATGGTATTTTGGCTGAGTTCTGGGTTAGAAAGAGTTCCCCCTGCCCTGCCCCCAACAGAATGTTGAAGGCACTGTTCCTGTTGCCTTCTGGCTGCCAGTGTAACTGCTGAATCTTTTTTTCTTTTTAATTTTTTTAAAAAAATGGAGGTACTGAGGATTGAACCCAAGACCTCGTGCATGCTAAGCATGTGCTCTACCACTGAGCTATACCCACCACCCCCAGACTCATGGTTTTTAATGCTTCAACTGCCTCATCTGTAAAATGGGGGTAATAATAGTGTATTCAAGATTGTTGAGATAATTACATAAATTCATATATGAAAAACATGTATACTAGTGCCTGACACAGTAAACACTCAATAGTCATTAGCTGTTTTTATCAGTGGAGTGCCATAACTCTGAACATTACTGTTGAATAAGGAAGTGTAGGTGGTGTGAGACATCTGGATGTAGTAAAAGGCATAGGTCCTTACCCTCAAGAAGTTTCCTGTCTAGTTGTGGATGGAGACAGGAAATTAATGGGGGATACAAAGTAACGACAGAGGTTTCCATGTATCACTGTGGAATCAATCTCATTACTCAGAATGGGAGGCAGCAAGGCACAGTGGAAAAGAGCATGGGCTCTGAGGCTGGACGGATTCGGATCTGAGTTCAAATTTGGCCTCTGTCACTAACCAATTATGACCTGAGTATATTATTTCCTTTTGTTGTGTTTTCCTTATTTTTATAAGGTTGCTACTGCATAGGGTTGCTGTGAAGGTTAAATTAAGTAAAATAATCCATGCAAAGTACCCAGCTGCTAGTGGGCACTCAACAAATGCTTGTTCCTTTGTCCCACCCTTTCTGTTATAGTAGACTAAGCGAGGTGTCGGGGGAGGACCCAGAGCAGTAATTTCAGGGTAGGGAGAATTCAGGGAAGAGGAGGGTATTGTGTGCAGGTGTGACCAAGGAAGATGCACAGGGAGATAGGATGTAAGCTCCCTTCCTGAAGGTGAGGGAGCGCAGTTAGAAAACAGAGAGGAGGGGGGCATGTGGGCCAAGGCACATGGCCAGAATGGGGCGATAATGTGTCATCAAGTACCTGAGAGTCCATGTAAGATCTTTTCACACTTGTCATCCTTTTAAATTCTCACAGCAGCCCTTGGTTTGGCATCACTGCCGAAGCCGCTGAGAGCTGAGGGAAAAAGGGGGCTGAGAGGCTTGCCCGGCAGCCCACAGAGAGGAAGTGGGACTCAGTCCCACATTTTCTAACCCCAGGCAGACAGACAGAATGCACACAGGCTTTGGCCGGAAAGACTGTGGCCAGATGTGGATGGGCTTGCAGCCAAGACAGGAGGTTTTTTTTTGTTTGTTTTTTAAAGTAGATACTGTTCTACTCCCAAAGCTTTGTAACAGCAGATTTCAGGTAACGGTATTTAAAGAGTATTCATCTGGTGGAATTTCAGAACAGAGAGGAGGCAGGGAGACCAATTAGGAGGTCTGGGCTGGAGAGGGTGGTCTGACCTCTGAGTCTCGAGGGGCACCCCTGGCTGGAGAGGAGGTGGGTACCGGGAGGAGACTGACCGGGGCTGCTTTCTTCTTACTCCTTTGGAATTTTAGATGAATTGCTGAAGGGCTTCGCTTTACTGAATTCTCAGAGTCCTGATTCCAAGGGTAGCAGAACCAGAAGACAAAGGAAAGAGAAGATGAGAAATCTTGCCCTTAGTATGAGTAAGAGGAGAGATAAGGAAGGAAGGAGAGGCAGTGTTAGGATCTCCAGACCGCACCCTAAATGCAAGTCATCTGCTGTGAGACCACGCCGAAATGCAGGCCAGACAGACCCCCCGAAAGCCCACAGGTTCCTGCAAACAGCAGGCCCACAGCACAGCGGGAAAGTAGGAGTTCATCTTTACTGGCCCCCACCTGCACGTTGTGTACGCATTCCCCTACCAAATTCCCCACCATGACATGAATTACTTTTTAAAATCAGAGAAAAAAATTATTTTTAGCTCATTATGTTTTGCAAGTTACTATTCTCTACATGACTACAGCTCAAAGTGGGAGACCACAACCAAGGACACACTCAAGGGCTGAGCAACAGCCACTAGTTGTTACTTCCCCGCACTCATAAAGGAGCAGTGATGCACACAATGTAGAAAGTGCTTGTACAGTGAACACAATTCTCTCCTTTTTAAACTGTGAAGCAGACGTTGCATTTCCGCCCTCAGCCTCCCTGTTCTGTTCCCCCTCCCTTCCCTCGGCAATGTCCCATTTACGACACTGCACCCCGCTCCCCGCTCAGGCACCACAGAGGAACATATGCAATACTTTGCTGGTCTTTTCTCTTTATGAGTCTATTCCAAGGAATAAACTCTGAATGAAATTCAGTCACAGGAAGATAAAAATGACAAATAGCTTAAAGTGTACCTCTGGGATATTTGCACAATAGACTCATTCCATTTTTAGCAAATATTTAACAAGTATCTGTTAGGTCCCAGGAACTCTCCCAGGTTCTGGGGACACCACAGGGAATAAGAAAGGTGTGGTCCATCCTCCTATGAGGTTTGTATAGTTGCTGGAAAGGCAGATAGAAGACAAGTGGGCAATAAGAGGATTTTGATTAGTGAGAAATGCTGTAAAAGAAATAAAATGATGTGAGAGGGAAGAATGACTGGGGGGGGGGGGGAAGGGGCGAAGTTTTGATCGCTGGTTAGGGGAGAGGTCTCTGAAGAAATGCCATCCAAGCTGAGATCTGCATGATAAGCAGCAAGGTATCATGGGAGAATCCGCCCTGAGGTGAGGTCAAGGCTGATGAGCTCCAGGATCAGAAGGCAGCAGGGCCTGAGGGTGGATGGGAGCTGAGTGACAGGAGACAGAGGCTACAGCCAGATTCCATAGGGCCCTGAAGGCCAAGGTGACATGTGGGTTTAACCTTTGGAGGATGTAAAGCAAAAGAGTGATGTGATGAGAGTTGCCTGTTAAAACGCCCTGCGGGCACTGGGTTATGGCAGGGCGACCTGGGATTGTTGGTATAACCCAAGCAAGAGATGAAGGAGGGTTAGGCTAGGGGATTAGTGGAAACGGAGAGAAATGAATGGACTTGGGCTGCAGTTTGGAGGCAGGGTTAAAAGCTTAAGGAAGGTGCAGGGTTGCTTAGGTTTTCTGTCCTTTCCTCATTTTCAGTTGAGATGGATATTTTTAGGGCATAAAACTAATTTGCCCATCAACTTAATTAAAATATGGTAAGAGCTGATATTTAGCTAGCATTCTATTTACTGGAACTTGCCATTAAAGAGGAAATGTTATATTTGGAGTCCTGTGGTCATTGTTAAAACCTAAAATGATAATTGTTATAATTGAAGCCCTGTGGTCATTGTTAAAACCTAAAATGCCTTTTAAAAACATTGCAGCATTAAAGCACATTCAACAGAGTTTATAATGGTCAAACCCTTTAAAACCAATTATCTCTGTATTGTATACATTACCAGGATTTCCAACTAATTAGAATACTCCGTTCCTCAGCTAAACCACTTAACTACTCTGTAGTTCACCACAGAAGTGATTTTTAGATTATGCATATCACTGCTCCTTTACAAGTATGAAGAAATAAGGCAGTGGTGCTATTTGTATTCTGAAAAAAGATAAGTAAAAACAAAACGTTAAAAGCGATTATGTATGGACGGTGGGATTATGTGTGATTTGTTTCTTCTTTCTTCCTTTTTGTTTTTTCTAAATTCCCTACAATGACATGAATTACTTTTAAAAGCATTAAGTTTTGTTTTCAAAAAAAAAGTTAATTATATTTAGAAAGTCACTACTCTCTATATTACTACAGTTCATAGTGAGAAACTATAGCAAATGACTTAGCTATATGCTATGTTTTAATTTTTTCCTTTTAAAAAAATAGATTTACCGGAACCTTCCAAGATTTTTACGCACAATTATGGATGCCCTGAGGAAAGACAAAATAGTCTTCCCCAATGATGAAAAGTAAGTTTAATGATGTAAAGATGTCCATTATTACTAGTATCTACAGGATTCTAGGGGTAACTATCATGCAGCTGATTGAATGGGTAGGCAAGAAGTCTGAATGAGTAGATGGAAATTCGTAGATGGGCACTAGCATTTGGGATAAGGTATCTACAGATTTTTAGTATTTGATATTATCCTTCTGTCTAATTCAGTACTTCCTCTGATGTTATAAAGGGAGTTGTTTAGGACATATCAGGACCTTTGAAAGGTCCTGGAGGGTCTAGCCTAACATTCCTTGGAGGAATTGTAGGCCTCACTCCCTGTGTAACCGAAATAGTTGGAGAACCTAGGAGTGCCTACACGTAGGCAGTCTTATCAGTCCTTTTTTCTATTTCAACACACTTGAGGGATCTAACATTCTCAGGAGTAGCAGTGAGCCACAGTGGCAGGGTGGGTGGAATCAGAATTTGGGCGGGGAGAGGGAAGTACTATTTATTAGAATGAGAAACAAGTCATCATTCATGTCATAGCCTTTTTAAATTACAAACAGGAGGTTGACCAGGAAGCTAATCGAACTTGTTAATGACATGTCCATGCCATGTATTTACGGGGAAACATAAATAAATTGCTATAATAAGTTCTTTGTCCTGTGGTAGTTCTTGTTATTTTTGGGTTTTGAGTTATTTTATTTTTCTTTTATAGTCTTTTAATTAAAACACTCTAGATATTAAGAAATAAGGTAGAATACCTTACGGAAAAAGATGAGGTTCTTTTAATTCTGTACAAATTCAGTGTTTCAGTGTTTTTGTTCTTTATTTTCAAAGATCATGTAGGAATAAATTAAATAACTAATTGAATTGTGTGAGTAAACAGAAGAATCTTGCCTGGAGGAAAAAGAAGTTACTGTATGAAGCTTATTATATGTGAAGTTGTTATTCCTGGGAGGGAAAGAAAGGGCGTTCTTGTATTTTGGGCAAACCTCATGTTTTGCTAAAGCTTTAACTTAGAAGAGGAGAAATCCCAATGTACAATCCTGGAACTGAATGCTTTTCTTCTACTTGTTCCTAGTGTTAAATTCCTGTCTTCTCCCCTTCTCATCCTACATGGTGAGGATGACAAAACAGTGCCTGTGGAGTTTGGAAGAAAGGTAAACTAAGCTTAGCGGCCGATGGAAACACACTCTACTCACCTCAGCGTTTTCTCAGCCAGCCGAACTTTGATTAGAGCCTAAAGGAGGGTCTCTGACATTATGAGGGATTTTCTGCATCCCTCAATTGCCATGCTGCCTGGTGTATACAGTAAGCATCAGTGTGCTATGCTATTCAGCTCAAAGGAGTGTTTGTGGCAGATCTCGATTCCTCAGCTGGGTCTTGGGCTCTGCAAGTATACAGAAGATCCCAGGCTGCTCTGAGAACCTCCATGCAGTCTCTCCTTGCAGTGGCTCTAAGAATAGGGACACGGTTTCTTTTCTTTTCAACAAATAGAGGGGGCCCATTGCAATTCCTTGTCTCCTTGCAGGGTGGTATGGGAAGGGCAGGATGAGGTCTCGTCACTGCTTCATATGGGCTGGCAGCGTTCAGTTCTGTGGTTGCAGAGGCAGCACCTGGGGATGTGGAAAGTGTCCCTAGCCCCGACTTAATGGAACTAACTCCCTAAGTTGGCTGTTTCCGTACCCTTTTAGGAAAATCAGACTAGAAAAACAGCAGCTTTGATGATCAGCCTTTGGGTCCTTGTCTTTCTGCCCCTTGCAGCTCTATGAAATTGCCCACAGTGCATACAGGAACAAAGAGAGGATCAGGATGGTGATCTTTCCTCCTGGCTTCCAACACAACTTCCTCTGTAAATGCCCCATGCTGTTAAAAACCGTGAGGTAAGCACTGCTTTGCTAAATGCAATTAGGGCTGGTCTGGCTGTCTTAGCCCATGAGCTGGGGAAAGCATGTGACCTCATCTAGGTCTTTTTTCTGCAGAGATTTCCTGAGCCAGCAGTGGGCATGAGGTCTGAGAGCAGTGGAGAGTGAAGACTTGATCCAAACATCACCTGTGATGTGTATTTTTAATGTAAAATTGTCCTGGGCTGCTTGGATAAGCTGAAGTCACTGGCATTTCTACAAGTCACTTGCCATTTTAGTAAGCGAAAACATGGATGCTGGGCATCAGGGAATGTTCTCATTCAGCCTATCACATTCTACTTTGTGGAACATGCTGAAACTTCACTGTGGAGAGTCAGAGTTTGGTAAAAATTGGATCCCATCTAAAAATGTATAGTTACCAAACATTTGCGGATTAGGTGGTCTTCGATTTGGACTTAGACAGCAGTATAAGAAAGGTGCTCCAATGTAGTTAAATAATTTGTATTTCAGTTTAGTTAACTTAAATGGTATTAAAAAGTTCCAAGCAATTTTCTAAGCTTTCAGCATTGCACTGGGGAAAGTCCTAGTGTGCTACTCAGTCTGCTACAAAGTAGTGAGTTTTGGCACCCATGAAGCCTTTGGGAATTGACAATTTATTTTTAGCGCTAACAGAGTCATACACTTTCCCCTCTCAATTCCCAGAGATACTTAACTGGATTATTAGCTAACAAAATAAAATCAAAGAATGTCGTAAAAATGTTCAAGTCCAGTAAGAAGCATTTTTTCTCTAGGGACATTTTACAACTTACTTTCCATTGGCTTTGTTCACCCCATCGCTAGGTTGACTGGACAGGGAAATCTTTATATCGGAAGGCTCCATGTTCCAGATGTCCCGGGCGTATTCCTTAATTGTTCGGTCACTGGAGAACTTCCCCGAGGCAGCTATGTTTTTGAGTACCGTGGTATTCCAAGCCTTTGGATTCTGTAAGCAACACAAGCACCTAGGGCTCAGGGTCCGAGTCCCCACTAAGCTTTACGACAAACATCAAGCCAAGCACATCCAAGCACAACTCACGGGGAAAGTGACAGGAGTAAACTGCAGTGAATCGTAAACACACTTGTTTCAGAGTTGAGAGCTGGATAGGGCAGACCGTGCTTTTCTCCTATTTAAGATCATATTTCTCTTACAAATGAAAAGAAAGTATTTTTCACTTTTAGAGAAACCATGGATGTAAGTTCCCTAATTGATAATTTTTGCTGTGGTTACAATGTTTTGGCAGGAAAGCCGTATTCCCATGCTTCATTTTGAATGATGACACCTCATCTCTCTTTAAACAGCAGGGAGAAGAAAGAGTATCACATTCATTGTCCGCTAGATGCCATGCAAGAGATTTACCCTGGGGCTCACGGTCAAAGTTTGAAAAATACTATTCTAGAATATTAGCTGTCCTGCAGGCAGGTAATCCCATGGGAGACTTGATTCACTGACTCCTCTTTTCCGGTTCTATCTGAAGGTAGACGCTCCCACAGGTTTACACTGAATCCCAAATACTCCATTGGGATTTGAAAATAGGATCAATTAAGGCTTTATCCTTAATAAAATATATAACATTCAAATCTCATAATTTTATGTAAAAGAATTGTAAGAAGCTATTTATTTTATAGCCTCATGATTTTATAAAGAACTTGAAGAAAGAGTTCAATGAAAATGACCAAAACATTATTTAAAACCAATAGCAATATACTGTAAGCATTTAAAAGAAAAACTAAAACTACCAACATTCCTTAAGGTACTGCAGAGCAGAGTCGGAAATTGATTTATTCAGACTTTGGAAACTTACTAAAATGAGACAATAAAAGCTTCCTCTCTTCATGTTCTTTATTTAAATGGATAATGACTAAACTTCCCAACCATGTGGGACATGTTTTCTAAGCATCAACAATACAATTACTGTGAAGAGTTAAAAACTGCAATTTGCACTAATGAACGAGAAAGATGGGACCAAATGCTGGGCTTCAAGGGGGACACCCTTTGGATTAGGGCCATCATTTTAACAGAAGGCACCATTGTGGAAAGCTGACATTCACATATGTACTTGCCCTCGCTCACATTGCCCTTTCCCGCTCTGTTTTACATCCATTTCTTTTCCTTTAAAGCTTTTCTGCATACAAGCCTGGGCTGAGATCAAGAGGAAGGGGCTAGAGATGGCCATTTCCCTTCCTCTCCAAGTTCTTGGAGGCTGATGTGACTGTCTCCAGGGTTCAGGAGGCTGGAGGTGAGCCACTCCGCGTTAACTCTAGCACTGCCTGCCCTTGGGCAGGATATAAAATTCTGGTTTATATACACTTTTGAGGAGCTGGATCTGCTGTTAAGCAGCATGGACCTTAAAGGGTCCTATTTTAAAACCCCAGTGGGATATGTGAGATGACTCTAGGAACTACCTTGTCACCTGGCTTTGGGAAAGGAGCAGAAAGAAATGTTAGTGAAGTATGTTTCTGTTGGAAGTGGTCACTGATGTGTCAAAGGGCACGAGGGGGGGCATTTTATGGATTCCCACTGTTCTGCCACATAATGGCTTTCCAGCTGGAGAGCCAAAGCAGAGACTCAGTAGGCAAGGGCACTCAGCAGTCTTGGCACAGAGCCAGCCTCCTCCTTGTCTTTTCTTCTGAAAATAGGATCAATTAAGGCTTTATCCTTAATAAAATATGTAACATTCAAATCTCATAATTTTATGTAAAAGAATCATAAGAAGCTATTTATTTTATAGCCTCTTCTGTAGTGTCTGCCGTTCACTCAAAGTCTTTCCTGTCAGAGATGATCGCCTTTCCATACATTTATTAAATGCACCGAGAGGGCTGGGCTAGTTGGTAAAGGTGTATAACTTCGCATGTGAAGGGTTACTCACATGACTCTAGCCTTTTTCTTTTTCTTTTAATTTTTCTTTTTTTCGGTCAGGGAGGATATTAGGTTTATTTATTTATTTATTTTTAAAGGAGGTACTGGGAATTGAACCCAGGTGAACCCAGGACCTCATGCATGCTAAGATGTGCTCTACCACTTGAGCTATACCCTCCTCCACCAGCCTTTTTCTTTTCCTTTTCTTTTTGTTTCCTTTCCTTTCCTTTCCTTCCTTCCTTCCTTCCTTCCTTCCTTCCTTCCTTTCTTCTTCTTCTTCTCTTTTTCTCTTCCTTCCTTCCTTCTTCTTTTTCTTTCTTTCTTTCTTTCTTTCTTTCTTTCTTTCTTTCTTTCTTTCTTTCTTTCTTTCTTTCTCTTTCCTTCTTTCCTTCTTTCTTTTCTCTTTCTTTCTTTTTCCTTCCTTCCTTCCTTCTTGTAAAGTATAATCTTTCTTGTTTCTTTTTTCTTTTTTCCTTTTTTAAAATTCAAACATGAAACCTCCTCTCTTTCTATACACTTATAGTCTATTCATCTGGCCTCACTTCTTGGATTGTCCAGGAGAGGTACTTATTTTGCAGTTTTCAAAGACTAAGGGGTCAACACTTTCCCAATAAGCTAAGCCTCAGTTTTAGAATCATTTTAGCAGATTTTTCAAATACTGATGGTGATCCCAGTCACTACTGGGTCAGAATCTCTCAGAGGAGGGGGCATCTATACTTTGCAAAATCTGATGATTCTGATGCACTTCTCGTTAAGGAACCCGTCTGGTGGGCTCTGTGAGGGGAGGAGGTGGGAGGGGTTAGACTTTGTCCACACCGGTGTCAGTGCCCAGCATGGAGCCTAACGTGGAGGAGGCCCCAGTGCCTCTCTGTTGAATACATGAGTGGGTAAAGTGAGTATTTAATTTGGCTTCACACTCTTAGTTTCCAGGACATGCAGGCTCCATGGTGGGTGCTTAATACATACTGAATTATTTGTGTCTTATAACTTGGATATTAAAAAACTTACAACTGCTACTGAAATCTCAAATCCCAATCTCTGCCTGAACTTGAAAAAAGTCAAATTTTGATCTGAAAAAAACTAGAGAACTGCCTCAATTCCCTTTTTTGATTGGTTAGTGGGGACCTGTTCTTTAGATTAAAAAAAAGAAACCAAAATTTTAATCTACCGTAGTAAACTGGTTTCCTTCATAAGTCTCGGCAGTGTACTCACCATGTACAACTGACTGACTTTTTCTTGACACTTGACATAGGCTTCATAGTCGGCAAAGACTTTAAACCTGTTGTTTTTTGTTGTCGGTTTTTTTTGCAATTGGAAGGAAAAAACAAAACAGAAAGTTCAGTAACAGATGTGTACTAAGATTCCATTTAAAATTCTCTTTTGCTTAATGCTTAATGCATGGCTGGCTTACCAAACTGGTATTTCTGTTCACAAGGGTTTCAACCAGCCCTCAGCCTTTCTATGGTTCTTCCCACACATAAGAGCAGCATCATATGGATGCATCTGAAAGCTGGGTACACCGGTGGATGGAGAAGAAGAATCCCAGATTTGTGGGTCTTATGCTTAAATCGTCCCAGCATGGTTAGTGGACAATGTCTAGTTTTTCTTTCCAAGCCTGGGTTAGCTTATCGGATCACAGATCTAGGCTAATCTGGCCGGCTGTGCTGTATTTAGTTTAAGACGTTCTCGTCCCCTGTCACAGCCCAAATAGCTCCATCTTCTTTTGGGAACTCACCTGTCATGATAAAACAGCATGTTGATTAAGTCTTTGAAGAGGTCGGGCTGGTTGGGAGAAAAGAAGCCTTTGTCAATTTGATCGATGGCCAGCTTCAGCTCTGGAAGTGCCTCATAATATTTTTTTGCCTCGTACCTGTTGAATGGGAGATGGGGAGGAGGATGAGAAAAGGTTCTGTTAGTGTCTGTGACTAACAAAACACTAGACACTCCATTAGCTGTGAAAACTGCATTCAGAAATACTGGCACTTACAGCAGTCATTGTGTTCAACGGGGGTATAAATAATGTTTAACCAGATCCTGAAATTTTTTTTCCCCACTAAATTTGATTAGTTCCTTGTAACCAAAGACACTAAGGACAATAGATAATAAAATTCCTCGTCACAGAGCAACAGTCTAATCTGGTAAAATACAGTAGGATTCATTTCAAAGCAGACTTTACAGCTCTAAACAAGTGTGCACTTGGTTTTTGGACTCACAAATCCTGAATTTTTTGATACTGAGTGAAAATTTACTCCCAAGGGTTGGGAAGTACATTTGACACCCTCCAAATTTTGTGATCCCTGTGGTTCCTTTGGACTATTTCTTTATTTCTTATTTTAATCCAGGTTAATAAACCTATCTTGATATTAAGTGGAACAAGTATTCCAGGTACTTCTATACAACCAGACCTATTCTCTACTACATTTTAGTCCATTTCTTTGAGATTGTAAAGCAACATCAGATGGTTTAAGTTATAGGCAAAAACTTCAACTGCATACCAGTTCAGTTTTTTGATAAAGGAAAAAAAATCACAGATGTGGACAAGTGACTAGCTCACGAGGGCAGCTCTGCCATGGCTGATGACAAATAGCAGTGACCCCACGTACCTGGGCCCAAACCCCTTTTGCTTTTACTTGCTGGGTGTACCAGGACTCGTCGGTGGTCAGCAGGGAGATGGGACTCACGGGAGGTGTTCTGCTGCCACACCTCCTGTGACCTGCCTCAGTGGTACGCCTGAGTGAGCAGGCACCCTCCTGGGGAGACGCCTGCCCAACAAGCAGGACTGCTCTCTCACCCTTTCTTGTCCAAAGCAGCCACGTCCTCTACTCTCATGCCAAAGATGAACAGGTTCTCCTCCCCGGCTTCCTCGGCCATTTCCACGTTGGCCCCATCCATGGTCCCGATGGTCAGGGCCCCATTCAGCATGAACTTCATATTGCCTGTCCCCGAGGCTTCCGTGCCTGCAGTGGAAATCTGCTCCGACAGATCCGTGGCTGGAATGACTGTAAGAAGGCAGGCTAGAATGAGTGACTCCGTCTCTCTGGATCTGCTCGTATGGTGTCCGAGCGTCCATCTAGCTGGCCTGTTTTGCTTGCTACAGTGGGACTTGTGCATCAAGATGAACATCAGACAGTATAGCAGGACAGATCGCACTCTTCCCTTTGACTCGGGCAACCACTTTCGCCCTGTTTTGATGCGCTGTGCTGGCGGTCATGGCCACAAGGCTAAACAACTATATGCTTGTACTACTCTCTCTTCATCAATCAGCTTTAAAGAGCACCTACTGAACCTCTGCTATAAAGGTTGACACTACTGGGAAATAAAATTCATATGTTATGGCAAGACAAGAAAAATTTAAACATAAAAAATTTTCTCTGCCCTTTAGCCTCCTCTCCCCTCTGCTGTGCGTCAGCCAAACTTCCCCATCAGCAGAAATACCTGTTCACCCATAAAAAGCAACATGCTCCTAGCACCAACAAGACAACTCCTTAAAGGGTAACATTCCTTCCTCATCTTGTAAGGGGTTGCATGACCCACCACTCTGTACTTGGCAGATCTCGACTGTGTAAACTGTCAGTGATACGACATTTAAGGTAAAGCCCTCCGTCTCAAAAAACTTACATAACTGTGCTTGGACTTCCTGGGAGCAGAACAGTTCTCAGAGCCTTCTGACAGGCTATTCCCAGGTTATAATCCTCAGTTTGGCTCGAATAAAATTTTCCATTTCTTTCTTAGATTGACTGATTAATGTTTCCATCGACACTAAGTTTCTCTTCTTCCCCTTCTTCCTTTCAATTTTTGTTATAGTTTTATTTTTATTTCTTCTATTTTGTAACTTTACAAAATACATTGAAACTTCTCTTTCTTGATTCTTAAAATTCAGAATCTTTCCCAACCCCTCTTTCGCAATCTGGGGAAATTGGATTGTGTCATTCCTTCCACTTCTCACCACCCTCCTTCCAGTTTCACTGCAGGGAAATGAGCCACAGGTAAGGAGGTGTGCCTGGGGCCTGACAGCCAGCCTGATTTACACACAAATTAGTGCTGCCTGCAGCTCCGCCCACCGCCAACCAGTCTCAAAGGGTCAGACCAATTTTCTGCTTTACTTTGAGAGCTTATCTGTGGATTAGATATATATCTTCATTTGCATCCATAAGAATCTGGCTCCTTTTTCTTTATGCTGACAGTTCTTAAACAGTAACATCAGAGGACCCAAAAACACCTCAAAAAGAGAAAGGTCCCTTTTCAATTTGGGAAAAGGGTGAATACAGCATTAGCATTTGCATGTGGATCGTGCTTTGAGATGCAAATAAGCAAAGGTCCCCGTGGAAGAGAAAGGGATGCTGGCTTCTGGCCAGTCCAGCTGTCCCGACGTGGGAACTTCATGCCTGCTCTCAGAGCCAATCTGAGGCACATCTAAGCCTCCGGCTTTGGCAGCCTGACACCTGCCCTCATTCTCTGTTGCCACATGAGCAAATGACAGCCCTTCCCTCCATGAGGTGACCAGAGTATCTAGGGGCTGGGGAATGGGTGTTCCACGACAAAACTGGGGCTGGGAACTGAAGACCCTTTTTTTCATTTGTAGAGCACAGTGTGTGTATTACCAAAATCTTGGAGCCACTTCCTCCAGCACCCAGCTCCGACCAGTGGGGAGGAAAATGTGCTGGCAACTGTAGTCTGTGATATTGACTGTGGGGACAGTCATCTCAGTGTCAGTTGAGTCACCTTACAAGTTCTTAGCTTAGGGCCTCATTCTAGCTAAAGGTGATACCTTCTAGCTTGAGGTCAGCGGCTCCATTTTTCTGTAGCGTGTAATCTAGAATCTGCCCTGGCCCCGCAAGGTTTGTGAGGAGGGCACTACCTTTCTCAGCAAGAGACACTCTGTAGTTCTCCAGGAAGATGAGTTTCAACTTGCTTCCAACCATGGGGTCATTGTTCACCACATCCGCCACTGAAGTGATCAGCTTTATGATCAGTTTGGCCATGTGATATCCTGGGGCAGCCTTGGGGAGGAGTGGGGAACACATGTCAGAAGACAGGCATGATGAGATGAGAACGGCAAGAGACAAGAGCCCCCAAGTCCCCAGTGAAGAGAATCAACTTACTTTGCCACCGATGATCACTGTTCTGGGCACAAATAACTTCTTGGGGTCTCTTTTAATGCCTGAAAAAGATGGAGAAGTGGATGGAGCGGAGGATGGGTGACGGCTGGGATGATGAGACCTACACGGGAACTATGGCTTCCTCCTGGGGGCGGGGGGTGGTGGTGGCTGCGGGCGACTCACGGTTGTACATGGTGATCACATGCAGGCAGTTGAGGAGCTGCCGCTTGTACTCGTGGATCCTCTTCACCTGCACGTCAAACATGGAGGACGGGTTGATCTTCACTCTGTACTCCTTCTCCAGGAACTGAGAAAACTTCAGCTTGTTCTCCTGTGGAGACAGTGCATGGTGCCAGAGCCCTCTGGGCTCAGAAGCATCAGGTGGCCGGTCTGTGTTTACAGACTGGGGCCCCAACCCTCCCAGCAAGTGGCGGGGAAGGAACCCACACCAGGAAGCCCCACCTGCTTCACGTTGGAAATTTCCCGGAGGAAGACATCATCACCCAGGAAGCTGTGTAGCTTCGTCAGCTGGCTCAAGTCTTTCACGTAGTCCTCCCCAATTCTCTTTTCATTTAAAGGAGAAGGTGACATTAATCAGGGATGGCAGTCAAGCCCAAATGAGCAGTTTCTGTCAGCCTGCGGCATGTGCTCACGTCCCCCTAAAGCTCGCCTGCCCCTGCCCCACCGGACACAGGATGGCTTCGCTCACAGAGGATGCTAGAAATGCTGTGCGGGAGAAACACTTTGCTAGAATCTTACATGTAGTTTCAGGGGTATTAAGTGTTAAAAACAGAAAATCTACCCAAAGAGGGTGACAAAGAACACAGATTCTACTTGTTTATGCCCTCTGTTACCCTGTTTTATTAAGAAGGGTACCATCTCCCATCTGTATGTCATGAGTGCTGTTAACCAGGACCAGTTACACAACATGTGAGGCTTGGGGGAGGGTGTAGCTCAGTGGTAGAGTGCATGCCTAGCATGCACAGGTCCTGGGTTCAATCCCCAGTACTCCCATTAAATAAATAAATCTAATTACCTCCCCCCAAACCCACAACATAACATGTGGGGCTTTTTTTTTCTTTTTTTTTACAAAAATTAAGAGTTTCAGGATGGCTCCAGCAGAGAATGAAAGCAAGCGGGGCCCCGTGGGACTGCACAAGCCTCTGGCTCTTAGAGACGCAGACTGGATTTGCAAATTATAAGTATACTCTCTGCCTCTTGCGTTCCAGTCAGGGCTCCCCTCCCCTCAGTGCTTCCTGATTACCTCTGCTATTAACTCCGCCAGCCCCGGGTTGCAGAGTAAGAGCCAGCGCCTTGGAGTGATCCCGTTGGTTTTGTTCTGAAACTTGTCTGGTTCTAGCTCACTGAAGTCCTTGAATCTGGAGACAGAAGAGAGACATCACTGAACTTGGCTGGAACGGCAGGTTCCTGCATGCTGAATGGAGTTCAGAGTCATATTCAAGAAGCCAAGTGCAGACTTAGAAAGATTAAGTAAAGGTGGAGGGAGGGGCTGACAGCAGCTATGGCTGTCATTCTAAATAAAAATCCATTTGCAATTCAAAGTAATTACAAGAAAAATCCCAAATCTAATCACCAGACGATTTCCTGGCTCTGACACCAGACTTCTCTGCGGAATAGGGTTTTTTTTGGCTCCTAAGTCTAGAATTAGGATGGTTCAGAGAGGAAGGCCTTTTCTTTTTAGAGAAGTGTTCTTTGTATAGAAGAAAATACTTATAAACATTTTAACAGGGCCTTTCCTCATCTCCAAATGTGACCCTGCATTCACTGGCACTGTCCCATGAATGAAGCAGTGGAGACCCACGACCACAGGGAGAGAGGCTCACACTTGGGTCCTCACGATGTCTGAGTGAATTTTAGCCACGCCGTTCACAGCGTGGGAGCCCACAATGCAGAGATGGGCCATGTTGATCCTTTTGCCTCCTTCCTCTTCTATCAGAGACATCCTTCTCAGACGGTCGACATCATTAGGAAACAAGGCAGCAATTTTCTAGGCAAAGGAAGAGAAAGGCCTCACTGGTCACTCAGGTTTAAGACAACCGGGGATAACATCATTTACTTCCCCCGCGAAGTCTTTGATGGTGCGAATATAAAATTCACTCCCACAGAAAGGGGTTGGGTTAGCCCTAGGGAGATGCCATCTTCCATTTTAGTATTTTAAAAAGATATCTTTAACACAGCCCCACCAGACTTGCATGCTTTTGAAGTATCAATGACTGAAAGATGTTTGGGCCTCAAGTTTGGGAGGAAGGAAGACCGCAGCAAAAGGGTTATTGGTCTCTCAAAATGACTTACATCTAAATGCTTCTGATTTATCTCATAAATGATTTGCAAATGTCGAGGAAGCAAATTCTCCACCAGCTCCACAGGCCAGCGCTCCAGGGCTTCAGGGAGCACAGTGTGGTTGGTGTAGGCGAAGGTCTTCTGGGTGATCTCCCACGCCTGAGGGGAATGGGGGTGGGGAGGGGTGGTCAGCAGCTTTGCCCTGCAGACAGGCTGCCCGCAGGTGCACCCCATCCCACAGGCCAGACATTTCCTCAACTCCCGTCCATCTGCAACTGGACAGTTCTATCTGCGGGTATAGTTAGACATGATCAATTCCACTAGGTTACTGAATGGTCCAGATAGTGGGAACATGTTTTATTTTGGGGGGGGGGCTTGGGGTGGGTAAGCTATAAAACTGTAGCATAAAACTTAAGACAGCATGCTGATAAATCTTCTCTATTATGCTGGGCCAAATGACATCCTTCAAAGTCCAAGGACCCCCATTCCTGGGCTCTCAGATGTCTGCCTGTGATTTCTCGATAGATAAAGTACATTTTTTATTGGGCATGTTTGCTCTAACAAACCAATAGCCCTAGGTAATGCCTAATCTATAGCTCAGGCTGGCTTGTTTCGGCCCACCTTATCAGAGTCATAGACCCCACTGCCCTTCACTGACTAAACCTCTTACCTCACCTACAATCAATCAGATTGTGCACAAGCCGATCAGGCACCTTGTGACCCAACCTTATAAAACACCCCAATAACAGCTCTTGGGGCTCACACAGGCACCCCTCGTCTGTGTCGCCCACTGTTGTCTATGGCAGCATACCCTAATAAACTCCTTTTCTACTCTCATACTTTATCTCTGGTAAATTCTTTTACCAACCCGCATCACCATGCCACTGATCGGCCCCCACTGTGTCCCACAATATATTATTCTAACTTTCATTTATTAAACAAAATTTGAGGAATAAAACTTAAGTAATGTTCTGAGAAAGTACAAAGTATGTTTGAAATCAATGAGGACAATTTCAGTGGCTGTATTCTGAGTTAAGAGTTTAATTTAGACTCCTTTCAGACACAGAAATGGTGAACACAGTTTAAGCCTTAATATAGCTACCAAGCTGCGTTCCATTAGGAATGTGTTTATTTATTTCTTAGTTTTATTCCCTGAAAAGCAGTAAGGACTGAGAAATGTGAGCACCAGGGCAAACTGACTTTTAACGGTTGGAAGTTTGCAACAGTAACTTATTGTGAAAAACTGTAAAAGAAGCTTTTGGCAAAATCTCCCAGCCACAGATATTCTGGTCAAAGGAAAAAGAAGGCAAACCATCCAGACCTTGGACCAGGGCAATTTTTCAATATCCACAAAAATCCTCATCAGTTCCGGGATGGCGAGTGAGGGGTGAGTGTCGTTCAGCTGGATGGCGACCTGTGTGGGGAAAAGAGAGCAACATGAAGATTGCCCGGTGGCCCGGGTCTGGCTTCCCTGTCCTGACACTTCCCTCATCCCTACACCAAGCAAAATGTCCACCTCCTGGGAAACGCTTTAAGCATACTGTACTTACTCAATTTTTTTTTTTTAATGGAAGTACAGTTGATTTAGAATATTGTGTTAGTTTCAGGTGTATAAAATAGTGATTCAGTTTTAGATATATTTTTTCAGATTATTTTGTTATAGGTTATTATAAGATATTGAATAAATTCCCTGTGCGATACCGTAAATTCTTATTGCTTATCTATTTTATGTATAGTAGTGCATATCTGTTAATCCCATACTCCTAATTTGTCCCTCTCACCCCTCCCTTTTGTTAACCACAGGTTTGTTTTCCTTGTCTATGAATTTGTTTCTGTTTTGTATATAGATACTGAACTTTTTTAGCACTGACTGAGACAGAGGAGTAAATCTGATGGGAGGTCCCGATCCTCTGAGCTGTTCCCATCTGTGTTTACAGACTGAATACTTGCCTGATCTGGGAAGGCATCAAATGAAGTTCCGGCACCATCACTGGAGCTAAACTTAGAGGCTTTGAAACGTCGGATGACATCTTGCAAGGTAGCAGCCACCACAAAGTACTCCTGCTTCAATCTTAGCTCCTTCCCTTCAAAAAACTTCAAACCAGAGAGACTGAGTGAGAGTGGCTCGCATTATTAGATGTGGCCAGAAAGTGGCTGGCATCTCCTGCTCAGAGGACTTTAAGGCTAAAGCCCATGGAACGTCTGATGGAATATGACAGGCTGAATGCCAAGCCTGAGCCTCCTGAAACTCCACTAGAATGATGGTGAAGGGATTTTTAAAAAGCAGACTCATAAAGGATGAAGGGAGTGAAGAGAAGACAACAGCAACTTTTTAGAAGCTGAAGAACAGGTGGATAAATGGCAATTGAACCAGAAGATCCTGATCGAGTAGTGGAGAAAAGCCAAAAGAGCAACCTGGTGTATACACTGAAGCCCCCAAAAGGCACAGGAATTGTCAGCATTGGGTGCCCTAAGAAGTACAGGTGAGAATGAGGAAAAAGGTCAGTTGTGAGCCTAAGAAGCAGGTGGCCCCAGACTTCATCTCCAGTTCCCTTAGCTGAGCAGTATCCTTTGCCAACCCAGGCAGAAGCTGGAGAGATATTCTTGAGAGATGGTAAAACACGGGTCTCTGCGCTGGAGGGCAGCAGGTGCAGCTGAAGGCAGGGGCCCCACACCATGCTGAAACTGGGGGAAGAGGGCTCAGTGAAAGTTTATGTACTGAATGCTGACACTTTTAGCCTTCTCCTCCCAATCAAATTTTAGAACACAGGCAGCCAACATTAATCCCACCAGGAAGGAAGCTGCAAGGGTCTTGTCTAGGGAGTTTGACCAGCCCAGGAGGGAGGACCTAAAGACACTGACATGAGGAGCTCCACCAGGAAATGGCCCCAGCAGGTCACAGGACAGTGAAGCCAAAGAGATAAATTCCTAAAGCTCCCTAAAGCTTGTAGGGACCTTGCTCTTCAGTTTTAGTGGGCAGCTAAGGATCATTGGACATCTAAGAAAAACTTCTAAAAGAGGTAAAAATAACAAACAAACAAAAGCCAACTTAAAGGAAACAGAGATTAGAGAAAAGAATATTATAGGAATACCATCAATATCCTCTGATTAGAGATTGTATTCAAGAACTAAGAATAAGATGCTTTAAGAAAATACCTGGAGGAAAAAAGATTACTTGCAAATTAAAACATAATAGCCAAAATGAAAAACCCAGTAGAAAGACTGGAAGAAAAGAGTTGTGATGGCCCAGAAACTTGAGCAAGAAGACAAAGAAATGATAAATATAAAAGATAAGAAACTAGAGAACTCGCTGAGGATGTTTAACGCCAGACCACTTCTCAGAGAGCCGGAGTCCTGTGCTCCCAGACTGAAAGGGTACCCAGGCATGATGAGCTGAAACAGACCCACACCAGAGCACACCCCCCACTAAAAGTGCCCTTGGAGATAGGAGGATAAGAAAGGGAAACAGGGAGGGAGACTAAAAGCTTTCAAAGGAGAAAAAAGCAGAATTCAAACAAAGACCAAGAATCCGAATTGAATTGCATTTTTCAGCAACACCAAAAACTAAGTGATTAAAAAAACCAAAATCTTTGAGTCTTTGGTATCCAGGCAAACTACCATGTGAGGGCAGAATAAAGACACTGTCCAACTGCAAGGCCTCAAAAAGTTCACCTCACATGCATCCTTTTCCAGGAAGCCCCAAGCATGTGTACTACCAAAACAAAGGGGCAAACGAAAAAAAAAAAAGAGAGAGAGAGAGAGAGAGAGAGAGCCAGACTGGAACCCAGGAAACAAATGTCCCCGGAGAGTATATGAGCACAGAGGTCCTCAGAACGATGGGGAAAGTAGGTCCCAAGGTGACAGTGGCACAGCCAACAGGAGAGATCCACCCAGAAGAGACTTCAAAACCAAGTCAGCAGAATACCTAATCTGTTTGAATATACTGGGAGGAAATTTCTACAGCTGGGGTAGAGTGTAGGATAAATTAGGGGGAAGTACTCAGGAAACCAAGCAAACAAAATTATTAACTCCAAGAAAAACAAAAACTTTTCAAGGAGAGGAAAAATAACCATTAGATGATGACCTGTATATGCACAGATCAGCTGTCTGTAGCGTTGACAGGGTCAAAATATGTAAACACTGATTGCGGAGCAAGCGGGAATTACCATGTAATTATGTAAAGAGACTGGGGCATAGGAAACGTGCTTGTGTGGTGCGGGTGGAAGTTTGTGTGAGGAAGTGGGCGAGATTCTCATCTTCAGTAGTGGTGAGTCGATAAACAATTGTAAAGAGGAAAATCACGAAGCAGCAATAACAGCATGTTACTACAGATACGGAGGTAAATATCCAGAAAATCAATTAAAAGCAAGGGGATAGAATTGCTTTGGGGAAGTGGAAATGGGAGACTGATTTTACAATCATCCCCACAGAACTGCTTTCCTCTTTAAACCATGGGCATGTACAACTTTGATAAAAATTTAAAAGCCAATTAAAAATTAAAAGCCATTAATAGGAAAACTGTCTGGATTGATACTACCAATGGGAATTTATAAGTGGTAGAATTTGAACTTTTTAAAAAAAATTTACTTCTTTGTACTTTTTAATATTGTTTTCATTTCTTTTTCTAATAGCATGTTTCATGGTAAAAAAAAATAATGAACTCATTATTCTAAAATAAAACCCCACATGAATCTATCCATAATGAATTAAACATTTATTGAGTTAGGGAATTTTTAATGTCCTAGAAATAGAATGACTAATTAAACATAATCACTGATCTCAATAAGTTCAAACTAGTGAGGAGAGAGAGATGTATAGACAAGGCATGAAATAAAACATGACATTTAAAAAATTGTGTTGTATTTAAATATACATACTTTGGGAAACTGGGTACTTAGGTAATTCTTTATCTAAAAGCCCTGAAAGATGAGTAGGAATTTGCCAGGTGAGCACAGAGAGCCAGAGTAGCCTGTTCAGGCGGAGGAAGTGTGGGCAAGGCATGGAGATGAGAAAGAACAGGGTGAATAATCCCGTCCAGCTGGGACCTCATTGCCAGGGCAAGGTCACGGAGGACGCGTCAGAGAACCCAGGAATATACCTAAGATTCTGTACTTCTCTTAGGGGTGATCAGAAGCCTTAAAGAACTTTAAGCAGAAGAAAAAAACACCTCACTAGTTGCAAAGGGAGAACAGGGGCAAGATTCTTGGAAGACAAACTGATGACAAGGGCTGTGACCAAGTTGGGGAGAGGGAATAAGTTTGTTCTTATGGTTACAGTACAAAAAAGATTTATTAACTCATACTTAGAAACAAGCATGATCCTGAGAGCTACCTTTTACCCAATGAATTGGGTCAACTCTGCAGCCCATGCTAACTTAGTGTGCCTTGTCAATTGCTGTAGATGATTATTTCCAAGTAAAGTTAGGTTTGGTCCTTACTGAGGATAGAAGGATGAATTTCAAGCCCCTTCCAGTTAAACAATCCTGTAGGCCTGAGTATTGTTAAGCAGTATGGCCCCAGACATGGAAGGATTCTTTCTTTAATTGACCATAAAATTGAACAATCTTTTGCTTTTGGGTTACAGATTTCTCTGCAGTGTACTGAAGTCACATTGTTTCTCACAAAGATAAAATAATATATACAATTAAGTTCCTGAAAATGCTGCATCCTCCTTGGACACCAGGGTTTAGCACCAAGTGGACTTCTGGTCTTAGGACCATTTATGTCCTAGTCACCAAGATCCTTGTTCTATGCCATCTTAGTGGAGGAGAGTACTAATTTTGTTGCTTCTGAGATTATAATCACCTATAAGAAAAAGTTACGTAAGATAAACAAGTGGCATAAGAAAAAAGTGTCGACTCCTGGGTCCACCCTGAGGTCCGTGACACCCCTCACCTGGGGCCGGAAGGTCGGAAGAGCCCCGTCAGTGAGGGGAAGAGGACAGGCAGGAGACTGGATGAAACTTCTGTTTGGACACATGTAGCGCTTCACCAGTGCTGCACCTCATCTTTTATGCCCCGGTTTTGTTTTGAGACACATGTATAGAGCCTCCCAATTAGTGATGGGCTCAGTAATCAAGGGCAAAATATCAATTGTGATTTCATGATAGGTATGAATTTGTTTTCCTTACTTGGATGGGAGGGGAAATCTAGACAATTCAGGAAGAGATATGGAGATTTTTCCTCATTGAAGGAAAAAAATAAAGTATTAAGTATATGTGTTATGGCTACTGAATAGGCACTTGTGAAGTAAGCGGCTCCCGTATCCGCTGGGAAAGCAAGCTTGATCACTCACGTTATCATTGGGGTAGAGGACCCGGGAGATGTTCTCGGCCAGATTCCGGTCCAGCACCGCCTGAATGTAGTCTCCAACGTTAACTGAGGGAAATATTAGAAAAACGAATAAGCAGACAAGCCAGCCACTGTTTTCAGAAGCCCCTTGGTCTCACCTAATGCTTCTTGAGTACCATGTGGGATTCCTAAAATTCCTAAAAATTCAAAAGGATTTCAGGAAACCTTCATGCAGTGATTCACAGGAGTGTCTAAGAGGGTCAGATGGAAGGACTGCTTTAAATGTGTGTCCCATGCCTGCTCCATAAAATGGGGCTGCTTAGTCACTAAACAGTTCAGGTCAGAAACTCAGGGCTTTTTTTCTCAAGTTCAATTGGGTAATAACTAGTGAACAAAAAGATTAAAGACACACACAAGGAAAGCGAGCCCACGCTGTACTCACAGTCTCTGAGGTTAAAGTCGTTGGGTGCTCGGGCTGACCAGAGGCGCATGGTGTTGACGGTGTTGTTCAGATACCCAGGCACCGGGGTGTCATATGGCAGAGCCAGGACCACCTGTGGGATGAAACCGAAGCTGCTGCTCGCTGTTTCCCACGTAGGTTGAACAGACCTGGGAGACAGCAGCTGCAATTTGCTTCCCAGCTCCATCACCAACTCAAAACCAAGACAAGGGTCCCAGGACTGGAGGGGAGCCGTGGGGGTCGTCCTCCCAAACTGGAACAATCTGGATGGCTAGGACCCCCTGGACAGATGGTCTTCTATATCATTTCCACACTGACTGCCCTCTGTATCCCTTGCCCTGATCTGGATGCAGACCTTTCACATTTAAGATCAAGCCACTGCTCTAAGAATAATAAAATATGATGTACAGAAAAGTGGCAAATGTGGATCTATACCCATTAAAAAGCAGTAATCAGGATAAGCTTCATGTGAGTTATTCCATGATCTAATTTCAAATATGGTGGAAATTAATGGAATAGGAAATTTATGAAGACAAATATTACCTACAATGTTTAAAATGCTATGCTAGGTTTTTCAAAGTTGCATGAAGGGTTATTTTAGAGATCTGACAAACCAGCTGATACCTGGCTGAGATGCGTCTAAGTGGTGGGCTTTGGAAACTCTAGCTCAATATTTGCGACAGTCACAGAATTAGAGTAAAACAGGAAGATGAACCGTTTCACGTGAATTTAAAATTTACGTAGGAAGAAAGTTTTCTATTCCCTGCCTCATCAAAGCCAAGCTCTAAGGAAGGGGAGGATGCTAGAGATCATTTGGTGCAACTTACTCATTTTGGACAAGAGGGGAAGGAGGCTGAGAGAGGTGACTTGCCCAAGGTCAGTCAGTGGTAGGGTGAAACCTAACCAAAGAGCTCTTTGATTTGGTCTGCTGAATTAGGAAGGAATGAAGCACTCCAGCCTATATCAATCAATCACACATATTCAGTCATGCTTTCATGAACATCATGACCACAGAATGAAAAAAGCACCCTTATTTGACTATCTTTCACTAGGAAATAAAGGTGTCTGGAGGTTCTTAAAGCATTGCGATCAATCAGAAAAAGTCATTTACAGAGTGGGATTGAGTCTGGGTTCAAAAGTGATTCATCCTTCTAACCCTCAAAGCATAACTGAGGCAGCTGGGGAGGCCCATGGCTCAGATGTCCCTTTAGAGAACTTCAGGGAGAAGCTGCCACCTCGGAGCTCACGCCGAGGCTGCGCTTTCTCTGGGATGCTCCCATCGTGGTGGGAGCTGGGACTTCCCTCCTGAGTGATGTCCCATCAGCCTGGGCACTTGCTTAGAGCTCCAGAGGTCTGAAGCTCTTCGTGAGAATCCTTTCCGCTTCTCTCTTCACAAGTGTCACACCTGCGCTGCAGTCTGAACGACTTCCCACCTCCTCCTGCTCCCTTTCCCCCTCATCTTTCACAGGCATTTCTGCAATAGCTCACGATGCTGCTAATTCTCCCTGTGGTCTGCTTCCCAGAGGGCCTGAACTGACACAAGAATGAAACAAACAGCTCGGTTTACTGGAAGCCGTCATAGCCGGCGTACACCAGGTCTGATCTCATGCTCTCTGGCCTCACTCACTGCAAATCTGGGGCTGATCAGGCAGTGGCGTCAATCCATAAAGTTCTATATGGCTTGGGTCAGCCCACACTTTGTTCCATCTGCCCCGTAACCTTGCCTTTGTGGGCACAGAAAAGCACATTCTCTTTAATTGAATTTCTGGATATATTTCAAAAACATCTAGAGGTGCTTTGTAAATACAAGATCATGTAAACTGCACACATTTAAACAGATTAGAAGCCACTGGAAGTTTTAGACACCAAATACTTGCTAGGTAATATCAAAAACATGTGAAAATTCTTTGGGCATATTAACAATTGATTTGTTTGCAGCTCTCCTGATCATATTTGTAATCAACTGCAGCTTACAACTTAGATTGTGGTCCATTGTTTAACCAAAATAAAAGGGGTGGGGTGTGGACAGAGGGAAACTTATCTTGAAATCACAGTATTAGTTTATTCCTTATATCATTATGTATAATGATCTATTTTAGCTTCTAATCCGTTATTTCATATGCTGAATAAATCATGTTCGGATAGGAAAAGCTTTTTTAAAAAGTCTTATTTTTCTGAACCATGAATAGCTTTGCATGGATTAGCAGAATAAATCATCAGTTTAAAAGTCAGCTATAACATGGGTCTTGACTCTTCTAAGACAAAATGAAGCATTTATTTATGGAGATTAACCCATAAACGAACTGAATTTAGCATTACAGTACTGAATTTCACTCCTGATTTTGCTATGTAAGAGCAATGATTCCTTGGTCTTAACCATTTTCTTTAAGCTTTTAAAGAATGGCCAGTGAGACATCTTTTCCAGCCTGAGGCCATATTTATTACACAAATGTCTCAAGTGGAGCCTCCAGTGACTGGACAACACAGTCCAGGAGTTCTTAGGGGTTATTTATCAGGAAGTATGAGGCCAGCAAAGCACAAACCACCACTGGAGGAGCTGAAAAGTGAATTTTGTTCAGCAACAGGGTAACACTCTAATCTAGCAGCAGGATAAATACACGTCCGTGACCTGAGGACACTTGGATTGACACCAGCGTGATTTCTCTAGAAGTGGTTTGGCACCAAGATAACAGAGTGCATTTCGTAATATTTTCCATTGTTTTTCTTGACTTTGCAATGAGAAGAGCTTTAGTGATCCTTGGAATAAACACTTCAGCTTCAAAATATTTACCCCTGAGAATTTACAAGTCAATGTACATATGGCAATAGGGTGAGAAACGACACTTAAATTTATTCAATCTTGGTTTCCACAACTTTACTGGGGGAGTTAAATATGCTGGGATGATAGAACTGATTAGCCTCTGATAAAGTGGATGACAGTGGATGACAAAATGACCTTGGTAAGTCACTTAACCTTGGGGAAGTCATTTCTCTCTTAGCCTCAGCTCCTTTGTCTCCAAAAAGAGTGGGTTCCACTAAGAGAAGTAACAGATTTATTTATAAAAATATACTCTATTACTCAATATACAACACACTATAGTCAATGCTATGTACACATATCTGTGTCATCCTCTATACAGCGCTCAGTGCGAGGATGCTCAGAATACCTGCGTGTCGACCCACTTGGCCCCGGCCTCGGTGTGCTCTACTCTTCCGTAGAAGTGCACAGGCAGCATGAACTCTGGGCGGGCCTTCTCCCAGGGGTTTCCATGCCTGAGCCAATCATCTGCCTCTTCTATCTGCAAAAAGAACATGGCTTAGAATTTGATTTTCAGGAGATGTGGCCCTAGCCCTTCAATTCTATCAAATGAAAAGTATTTTTGACTGAATCAACTCAAGAATACTGTTTTGGCTCCCAGATGTAGAAAATAAATTTATGGTTACCAAAGGGGAAAGGTAGGGTGGAGAGGAAGGATAAATTAGGAGTTTGGGATTAGCAGATACAAACTACCATATACAAAATAGATATGTAACAAGGTCCTACTGTGTAGCACAGGGAACTATATTCAATAGCTTGTATTAACCTATAATAAAGCAGAATATGAAAAAGAATATATGTACATGTATAACGGAACCACTTTGCTGTACACCTGAAACTAACATTGTAAATCAACTACAATTCAATTAAAAAAACACCAAAACAATAACAACAACAAAATGTATTACTATGTCAATGAATTCCAATAAGGCATTTGATAAAATTCAAAAGAGAAAAAAAAGAATACTGTTTTGGCAAAAAAGATGTTGGTTCTGTCAATCTCAATTCATCTTTGTTATGGTCTTACAGCCTAAATGAACAATACTTGCTAATATTGCTCTAAATGTTTTAAACATATGATTGTATTTAATCCTCATAACAACCCAATAGGAGGGAACTATGATTTCTCCTTTTTTAAAGATAAGGAAGTTGTAACTTCCTCAAAGTTGCACAGATACTAAATGGTACAGATAAGATCTGATGGTAGGTCTGTGTGTTCTGTAGCCTGTTTTAACATCTGCAAATGGTTTCTGTCAAGAGTCCTGTGTCTAGAAAACACAGAATTAGTTAAGAAAAGCTACTCATAGAAAGCTTCCTTGATAAAGTTTATTTCAGTGTTGGTACAGAACACTGTCACATTTTCATTTCATTTTTAAAATTGAACTATAGTTGATTTACAAAATGGTATTAGTTTCAGGTGTACAGCATAGTGATGCAATATTTTTGTTGATTATATTCTATTACAGGCTCTTACAAGACAATGGGTATAATTTCCTGTGCTATACAGTATATTCTGGTTGCTTATCTACTTTATACACAGTAGTTTGTACCTGTTATCCCATACCTATAATCTGTCCCTCCCTCCTTCCTTCCCAACTTTGGTAACCACAAGTTTGTTTTCTCCATCTGTGAATCTGTTTGTTTTGCATATACATTCATTTGTATTATTTTTTATCTTCCATATATAAGTGATAAATAGTATCTGTCTTTCTCTGTGTGACTTATTTTACTAAGCATAATATTCTCTAAGTCTATCCACATTGCTGTATGTGCAAGTGACAGTATTTAATTCTTTTTCATGACTGAGTGATATTCCATGGTGTGTGTGTGTGTGTGTGTGTGTGTGTGTGTGTGTGTGTGTGTGTGTATCTTACATCTTCTTAATCCCATATATATCACAGTTTCTTAATCCCTTAATCCAATCATCTGTTGATGGATATTCAGGCTGCTTCCATATTTTGACTATTGTAAGTAGTGCTGCTGTGAACACTGGAGTGCATATATCTTTTCGAATTAGTGTTTTCATTTTTTCTGGATATATACCCAGGAGTGGAATTGCTGGATCATATAGTAGCTCTGTTTTTAGTTTTTTTAAGAAAACTTCAGACTGTTTTCCATAGTGGCTGCACCAATTTATACTCCCACCAACAGAACAGTATTACAATTCTGTAGTCTTTGTTTAGTTTAATCCTTAATGTAATTTTGATCTGATAGTGAACTATTAGTTATAGTTCATTTTGAAAATAACATACACTGAAGGTAAGGAATTTATTTTATTGACAATCTCAACATTTTCCCATGTATTTATGTCAATTTATAACAAAAGCTTTATAAAATTTTAATTTTAATATAATTTTTTATAAAAAATATAAGGTCATAATTTGTATTTAAGGTATCTTGGATATCAAATGAATTTTGTTTTCTATAAGCAAACAAAAATGCCAAAACAAGAACAAAAAACACGTAGGGGGATGCATTTTAAAAATAAAAATATTATTAGTGAAACCTTTAAAATATTACATATATATTTAAAAATGTAATTGTGTTCTGGCAGGAAAGGAAGGGTAAAGTTTTTTAGTACAAAATTCCCTTGTCCATGAGATTACCCCAAATATGGCTATTTTACCTTTTTGAATTCTTCCCTCTTAGAAAACTCAGCTTTAAAGGATATTAACTATGAATTACAACACAATGTGATGTTTCACGATCACCTATATAAGAGTTCAATGTCTGCCCCAGGCACAGTGTGGAGAGAGAGAAACAAACACAGCTGCTGTCTTTTGGGATATTAGACAAAGCATTAATATCAACAGCCTGACAAGCAAACATCCATTTATTCAAACACTGATCATAACTTTCTATCAGGAATGCCGGTAAGCTGCCCATTAACTACCTGCATCGTGTTAAATGAAAAGGGGACTCACAGAGACAACATCTTTAGATAGAAGGTCTAGAGTTAGCAGCTGGAGGCAAGAGGATGTATGAGATGCAGGGTGAGGCCCAGGGAAGGCAAGAGCTAGATGTGAGTTAATCGGTAATCTTGTTAAAATGCAGACTCTCAGTCAGTCTGGGGTGGGGTCTGAAATTTCGCATTTAAAAATTGGCCGCTTAACGTGTGGCCGGCGGGTACGTGGTGATACAAAGTCAGTAACTGTAATTCAGAATTTAGACTTCCTCTATCCCAGTCACAAAGAGAACAATAAAAAATACAATTAAAATTTTAACAAGCATAGAATGTTATCAGCTGACAAGAAATTGGTTGGAAAAAAAAGAAATTGGTTGAGTCCACTAGTTTGTGTTAATAACTAGAAACTGTATGAAAAGCACGTAAGAATATCCACAAAGGATCAAACACCCTAACTTACAAAACACTTCATGCTGCCCTTAGGCAAGGGCAGGACTTGGGTTTCAAATACTGGTCAGTGTGAACACTGCTTCCTGCAACAGGAAAGAACCGCAAGGCCTATCTGCCTCATTTCAGTGCTCAGGACTATTGTAAAACACATCTTAGGGTATTATATAAACCAGGAGGATGATGAGGGAGAAACAGCTTTCCTCTCAAAAATCACACACACAGAAGAGCTGACAACATATTCTCTGCTGAAAAACTTGGCAGAATTAGACTGTTCTGCCCTCAAGCAGCATGAAACGCTCACAGAAGAAAGTCTGGGCTCCGGTCCTGGCCTCCTGCACAAGGCAGAGGTTGCATTTGCTCCTCTAAGGACACACTGTTAAATGACAAGGGACTAGTCAGCCAATTATTCATTTTTTTTCTCTTCTGCCCTTAATGACTTTTTTTTTTTAATGACTTTTTATTTTTTATTGAAGTGTAGTTGATTTATAATGTTAGTTTCAGGTGTATAGCAAAGCAATTCAGTTATACACATACATATTTTTTCTTTTCAGATTCTTTTCCATTATATGTTATTACAAGAAATTGAATATAGTTCCCTGTGCTATACAGTTGGTCATCTATTTTATATATAGTCACGTAGTAATGTGTATCTGTTAATGCCAAACTCCTAATTTATCCCTTCCCTGTCCTTTTTTCCTTGGTAACACAGTTTGTTTTCTATGTCCATGAGTCTGTTTTTGGTTTGTAAATAGACATTGTATTTTTTTTTTTTAGATTCCACATATAATGATATCATATGATATTTGTCTTTCTCTGTCTAACTTACTTCACTTGATATGATCATCTCTAGGTCCATCCATGCTGCTGCAAATGGCATTACTGCAGTCTTTTTAATGGCTGAGTAGCATTTCATTGTATAAATATACCACATCTTCTTTATCCAGTCATCTGTTGATGGACATTTAGGTTGTTTCCATGCCTTGGCTGTTGTAAACAGTGCTGCTATGAACATTGGGGTGCATGTGTCTTTTAAAACTATGGTTTCCTCTGGATATATGCCCAGGAGTGGGATTGCTGGATTATACAGTAAGTCTATATTTAGTTTTTTAAGGAACCTCCATACTGTCCTCATAGTGTCAGCCAATTACTCTTACTGCCATCCAATGTTGCTCTGATTTTTCCTTGCCAAATAATGGCTGATTTTAATTTCATTGGGTTAACAAGTTCTATAGGAGAAAAGACTTCCTAGCTTGCTGTTCTTTATTGAGTCTCTTCCTCATTTGGCAAGGAATCAGTCAATAATTCCCTCAATGTTACAAAGTCTGTTTTTAAGATAAATTGAAAAATAGATACTTCATAAACACAAGCTGGTCTGAACAGATCGAAGGAGAGAGAATGGCCCCCAGCCACCCCTGCTAAATCCACAGAAGCTGTGGGATGATGATAAATCTCCTTTCTACCTTGCTTTCTTCCAACGAATTAACAAATCGGTCTGTACATTTAGGCTTCCATGTAGCCAGTGACCGCTGAATGCCCTCACTTGCTGAGCCATAGGAAGGGGGGCGGGGCCAGATGGGAGAAGAGCTTTCACTCACATTCAAGTGAGCTGTTTGGAGCTGAACATCCCAGATGAAAAGGAGCTGAGACAAAGCAAGCGTGGGTCTGTGGAGTCAGGGGCAACATGCCCGTTTTGAGGGGTAGGGTGGAGGGCAGGTGGCAGCTGGACTGGCATCTTCCTAGAGGAATTATCAAAGCATCTGTACCCAGCCAGCATGGGAGCAGGGGTCAGCTCAGGACCTGTCAGTGGCTGAATTCTAAGAACTGCTTTTCCCCTCAGCTGTGGGATGCACAGGACATGAACCAGTGAGCAAACAGCAGGAGCTGTCAACAAACTTTGCTTTCTGATGATATCAATAATTGAACAATGTTCTGGGTAATGCTGAGAATTCAACAGTGGTCACGAGAAGCCTGCTGGGTAATGTGAACTGCGCATGACTAGTTACAGCAGGGCTCGGCACGGGTTCTAAGAGAGAAGGTTCCAGCAGATACCACTCGATTCAACTCTGAGATATCTACTGTCAGCGACTTTCCGTGAAGAACTTTAGTGTGTGACTGTTAAAGTTTAATGCGAGGCTGTCGCAACTGTCTTTCCCCATCTTCCTCCCAGCGACCAGTTATTTTCACAGAGGACGATTCCTGATAAGGTTTCAACGATCCCCACTAGAGTTCAAGGCACTTAACGATAAAATTATTTTTGTGGGGAAGAGGGAGAGAGTTCACAATGAACTTTATTACTGCAAATCTTCCTTGAAGAGAGACTTCAAAAACTGAAAGTCCATCAACCTTTAAAAATCTTCCCAGATAGTGCAATTTTCATCAGCTCTCTCCCTTGTAAGTGCAACCATGTAGCTGATGTGAGTGGGAGAGTGACCCTTTTCTCTCCTGGGAATAGCTCCAGCCTAGGTTCCCCCACTCAATCCTTGAGCGCGCTGCCCTTGGACTGACTCTTGGGAGTGTGGGAGGGGCTCGGAGACCTCAGGCTTTTTGGAAATGTTGTCAGTAGTGTGTGTGCATGATGCAAAGAAAGAGAGAGAAAAAAATTCAAATCACAACCGGGAAAATTGTGAACACTAGGGCTAACTGTAGCTCAAAGAGAGATCAAAGACAAAGAAAAATAAATACTTAAGAATCTGGTTTGGTTATATAAAAATAAAATGAGAATCATTTGTATGGATTAATTACTATTTGTGCAATTTTCTAGGGAGCGCTATAATGTTAAATATGTGCCAGACTTATTTGTTATAATAGTTTACAAGATGGTCTGCTTTTATCTTATTAAAAAAAAAGTCAGAACACTGAGCTCCTGCATCTTGTCAGATAGACATGTTAAGGAAGGCAAGACTCTCAAGAGTAGAAGAGAATACTGAATGTGGACTGGAAATCTGGGGACACAAAATCATATTTGCCAGCGGTGTGGTCTGAGGTAGCATCTCCTCTTAAGGACCTCAGTTGTCTCACAAAAATGGTGACATGTTTCCTACCATCAAAGGCTACTGGGAAAGATCATGAACTAAAAGCTATGTTCTTCCATTTTACGTGCTGCAGAGACAGGACATCGCACATTATAGGTGGTCCACAGTCAGGTAGTGGGTGATAAGTATCTTCAGAGCACCCCTGGGAGACTGACACTGGACGAGATGCTATGGACCTGGTGGGGAATGATGCCAGCAGGCTCTCTGCTCTCAGGGAGCTTACACCCCAAAGCAGGAAGATGATGGTATTCACTGATTTCAAACAAATACCAGAGAAATGAGTAGGGCTCTAAGGTAAATGTCCATAAATTATAAGTCACCTGGAACACCATGAAGGCAAAGTACTTTAATAACAAAATTTTTAAATGTGGCTCACATACCTGCCATCCATCTCGAATCTTCTGATTGAAGATTCCGTATTCATATCGGATGCCATAGCCATAGGCTGCCAGTCCCAGAGTTGCCATGGAATCCAAGAAGCAGGCTAAAGGAAACAGCACCAGCAAAAGGCAGTCAGCAAGGTGAGTCACAATTTCTAGTCTGTCTCTAAAAAACATAGCGGCCACAAACACTTTTCTGTGAGAAACCGTATTTGTATTTTAAAGCACAGAGCCTGCTACACAGTGGGTACTGATTTTTTTTTAAATAACACTTTTTTTGCTAATTATAAAATGAATACTATAGAAAAGTTAGGAAATACAAAAATGTATAAAAAAGAAAACAAACATCATTTATTACTTCGCCATCCAGAAATAACCCCTGCGTACATGCTGGCATTTCATGTGAGAACAGATGAGGAAGCTGGCCTGCGTTAGATATGTCTGTTCCTGTGTCTGCCCCTCACACTGTCCTTTTTGGGGAAGCTGGACGTCTGTGGCAGACTCTTTCTGGCTAATGGAATTCTAGTGTTGTTCACACATCAGGTGGCCTTCTGCTTCAGGGAGGCTGGACCAGGAAGTGACCCTTGCTTGACTGCTCTAAACCTCAAAGCTAATTGTAGTAATTCTGGTTCCTTCACTGGTGTTTGGCTTTGGCACGAACATACAATGACACAATCCAGCGAGAGGTGTTAGGAAGTCTGCCGGGTGCAGTGAAAGATTTTTCTTACTGCTGATATCTTTTTTCCTTGAGGGGAAAGTCAAAAGAACCACAAAGACCCAGAATCCTGACTGAACTGTGCCACTGAATAAATTAATCTTAGAGTGGCCAACCTCTGGAGTTCTTGTTCTGTGGTAATACATGAACTTGTCGGTTGAACTAGCTTTTGCTAGGTTTTCTGTTACTTGTAGCCAAGAGCTTTTAATGACAGAGCAGCTGATCCAGGGCAGCCAATCGGCAGGCTGGGTAGGATCTACCTTGTGGCCAGGTGCCATCTGAGGGGTTACACTTGCCAGACTGTCCCTCTCAGGAATTTGAACAGAGAAACAGAGAATGAAAAAATACAGTAGGTTCTAAAACTGAAAACACTGAAAACTAGATCAAACAGAAAGAGACTGACTTAGGTTCATGGTGGAGTCCTAGAATGGATCCACAGAGGCCAGTGGCCAAGACCTTCAAGTTACTGTGACATCACAACAGTTCTTCCAATCCTGTGCACATGCGGCCTGGCTCTGCCCCAGGTTCTGCTCTCGATGAGCTGTGGTAATTTGTCTTTTCCTGGGTCCTAATCAAATTATCCTTAGATCCTGACGAGAATGGAGTCCCAGTTTTTTCAGTCTGGTAACAGATCAGGTCATCTATTGAGAATTACCCAGCTTCATTCGCTCCTTCCCTGTCTGGCCCGGAGTGGGGTTAATCCTGCCAACAAATAGGCTTTACATAAAAGGAAGGCAGGCTGGCTGAAACTCTTGGATATGCGTGCCACTGACCCTGCTGGTCTTCCTTCCACTCCGTGGAAAGCCTACCAATTTACCTGGTCAGCGACCTCACAAGGTGACAAGTATCCCAAAGGCAGTGTCCTCTGTGACTAATTGCAACGTTAAAATACATGGCAACTAATGTAGTGAGTAGTAAACAATATGAAACACATCACATGCAAATGGATTTCTAGTCACTAGAAAGTGTGTGTAAAATTAAAAGATTTGGGGATCTTTTCTAAAAGACTACAATCTGATGCACAGATGTGTGGTCATATAATTTTGTTATTAAAGTTAAATTTCACAACTAATACACTCACATCCTCCTTGTAAAAGCAATGAAAATGTTCCAGACAGGCTAGCATCCTCTTTGGTTGCCACCTCCAATTCTGCACTCCCCTCTAGGGAAGATCACAGGCAGCAGTTCAGCCTTTCAAATTCCGGACTTTTTTCTATGGATTTACATATGCACATACTCACAGGAAATATTACAGTTTTAAAAACATAAATAGTATCACACTGTGTGGCTTTTAGGGCAACTTGTTTCCTCTGCCCACCCTCTGCCCACCCTCTGCCCCTCCCCAAGGTCTGTCCAGGGAAGCCCATGCAGAGCGATTTTATTCTCCTGGGCTGATGCATATTATTCTGTAACGTGGCTGTTCCTTTACTTATCCTATCAGTGGACACTAGGTTATTCCTAAAATTTTGCTCTTACAAACAGTATTGGAACAAGGTTTTCACACACCTCCTTATGCACACGCGGCAGACATCAGGAAGTAGAGCTGCTTGGTCACAGGGATGCACATTTTTAATGTAACGGCATTGGTATTATATTTGTGATGTTTTCCTCTATATTTGTTGAAAAACCATTTCTTGGATGAAGCAAAGAACTCAAATTGCATCCATCCAAAAAAGGGTATTTATTAACTAAATCATACCAATAATACAACACATGTGTCATTGCCTATGAAGTCAATCAAAAAGCAAACTGTCAAGTGCACAGGACAACAACACAATGGCTCAACAACTTAGGTCACATCACACAGGCATGTGAATTGAGCAGCTGTGAACAAGTAACAGTGAAGTGAAGGGGCCACTTGGGAAACCCTTGAGTGCACAGGAAGGATCTGGTAACTCTGGGGTTTGAAGCAAGGTCTCCAAGCGTTTTAAGCAATGTCTCTTTTGTTCAAGTTCCCTTCCCTACCGTTTGTCTAGAACTGGTCACAGCACGGTGCAGACTCAAAAACAAGCACATCTATAACCAGGTCACAGCTCACACTTCTCCCGGAAAGCCTTTAGGCTCTTTCCGTGTGGTCGGGCACAGCACGTGCGGAGGCGTCAGTGGCGGGGCAGCACGACACACTCACGACGTCACTTACCAGCAAGCCTCCCAAGACCACCGTTGCCAAGCCCAGCATCTTCTTCAATTTCTTCCAGCTCCTCCATATCCAGTCCAAGCTGGTGATGAAAGGAAGACAACATTGGGCACAGACAGATACAAACGCAGCCCACAGTCAGAGAGAACAGTCATTTCCCAAAGCTCTGGGCTGGGCCTCTGGGTTCATCTGTGACCTCAGTCCTGGCATTCCCCTCACTGCTGCTTCTGGCATCAGCCACCCCCTGCTGATGAGGGTCTGCAGACGCAAACAGCCCGCACGGTCCCGCACGGTTCCGCACGGCCCCGTGGCACAGCCCAGCCTGGAGGAGAAGATGGGCTCTAAATGTCCATCGCTGACGTCGCGACTTCTTAGCTATGTGGCCTTGGGCCAGGTACTAAATCTTGCTATTCCTTTTACCTCTTGTTTAAAAAGGAAGGTCATAGGAAATACTTCATTTAGAGCTGTTGTGAATTAAATGAGGTTTTACAAAGCATTTAGAATTATTCGTGGGCAGATATTCCTCAAAATATGTTAGCTATTACTATTTCTTAAAACTATTATTTTTGTGCTGTCCATGCAAAACTTCAGAAATAGTCCAGTACCAAGCTGACACTAAATGGACTAAAGGATTTTGAAAATTATCAAAAAGTATGTGGTCAGACTTTCTGGGAAGGATGAAAGTTCATCTTTTCATGACCACAACATATTTACGCAATAAGGTCAAAGACTGTTAACCCAAAACCAGTTAGTGAGTCACTGCCCGTGAGAACCTGGGGCCCGACGGCAGTCAAGGAAACTGTGGTCCAGGTGGATGGGCCTAAAATCCTCTACATCTCTCTGGGGTCCATAAGAGACTATGGGAAGCCAAAGAGCATCTGTGACCTTGGGCTTGGATGGAATTGGTTGCCAGCCAGCTCCCTGCCCCAAACTGTTGGGACCCGCACAGCCAGAGGCCACTAGCAGCAGTGTGGACTCATGGCAAAATTCTGCAGCCCTAGAGACCACTTTGGTCTGCTCATCTGACAGTGAGGAAATTGATGGCCAAATACACTGAACAACCCGTCCTGTGCTGACTAGATGATAATCCAGCCTGTGCTTGGCTAATGATGGTCTGTTGTGAAATGCCTGCACTCTTATCTGAAAGTGATGTAATCCATGAAATAAAATATTATTTAAAACAGAAACATAATTTGCACATTTGAAAAGGTATGCATATGATGTAACTATGGTTGAAGTTGATGCCCCAGTTGGCATGGGGCTACCTACTTGGATCCCTAACCTTCTATCCAAAGTTGCTTCTGACACAAATCTTGATAACTGAATCCTCTAAGAGTTCAAAAATGGATTTGCTTCTGTTCATTGTTGAAAGGGCTTTTAAATTTGTTCCCTGGTGATTAGAGTCCTGGGGTCCTTGTGCACAACACATCAAATGCTAATACTAGCACCAAGGATTTTTAAAATTCTAAACACGTAAGTCTGCACCTTGAGCAAGCAGGCATTAGTTGGTCACTTCATCCCAACCTGGTAGATGCTGGTTTGAAGGAGGTACATTTTTGTCGGTTGATATCAGGGGAAGCAGAGAAAATGGAAGTGGAGAAGAGCTGCAATGGTTCTTTCATACGAAATAGTCTATGTGGCCCACATGAAGGAGACCAGCCCCAGTGACAAGCAGCTGGTCACAAGGGGACAATCCCCTGCCAAGGACAAGGAGCAGTCTCTCATTTAGAGTGCATCTTTGCAAGTACACGTTCCTCCTTTCAACCACATCAGAAAGGTTCAGGATTATTCTCGGTATGAAGATACTGGAAGCTCAGAGGAGAAACAGTTAAACATATTCATAAAAAACAAATGAGCACATTAGGCTCACGGCCTCAGGCTCCTCATAAAGAGGACGTGTGCTTTACGTCTCATTAAGCAATAGAGAAAGTCTGACAACAGAATTTTAAAAGCTTATTATTTTCAGATGTTGCCCTGATAAATGAATAAACGTCAAACTTTGATCATTTTGAAAAAGTGGATTGGAGCCCAAAGTAAAGCTTGTGATTCTGACAGCAGGGACCGAAGCACTTTTCAAAGGTTGCTCAGGTGCTAATTTCTAAAATGTAATTTACTGTGGAATGCTGTCAAAAACGGACTGTGGAAGAAAATTCTCATGAGACAACACTAGTTCTCTAGTACCAAGTTCACATTTCGAATAGTTCGGGACAGCCATGCCTATAGAAGCAATTTTTCAGTTTTTTTTTTTTTTGAGCATGACATACCCAAGGTTCCTGAATTGAACTTGAACTTTAAAGGGAGAGAATCAAAGAAAGGTGAAGACAACGTACCTGGTAAATGGCCTCGTCACAGGCATTCTGCAGGCCCAGGTTGATCATGGTGTTCTGTAAGGTTCGGCCCATGTAAAATTCCAAAGAGAGGTAATAAACCCTCTGAAACAAAGAAAAGAGAGGTCATGTTAATTGTATGAGGCCAACCTTACTTGTCAACATGAAAACACAAGGTCACCAAGAAGAAACACACAGGCAGGACCACTGTAACTCAGGTCCAAATGAGACCCCAGTAGGATGCACCCAGGGCTGAAGGAGAGTGCCCCTGATAACCGGCTTCAGGAAAACCATTTTATATCCTGGTTTGGCAATACTTTTAAAAATATCTTTTACCCCCAGGGAGGAAAAAAAAAGCAAACTCATCCAACTAATTAGATTCAGTGTTTTGTGGGGTTTTTTTCCCCCCGTTCATGAGCCTTATGAAAAAACATACATTTTGGGTAAATCGAAGTCAGACTGACACAGCTCATATCATGTAAAATATTTACAGAATGAGGGTCAGGTGGACTGGGCTGTGATAATCTCAAGTCATCCAGGAAACACAACTCCTTCAAGAAGGAGTTGATACACCCGATGGCTACCACGTATATTCCTCCTTAACTGTTCCTGCAAGTGACGATATAATTAATTATTTTAGAATTAAAATTATTCTAGAAAGTCTATGAAGCATAACAAAAGACTACCTCAGGTTCGTCGGTGTTTATTCTTGATGAAATGGGTCATTTCGTTATTAGTTTAGAAACTGTTTGCCTTTGACATAGCAAAAGCCAGGGAGATACTATCAGAGTTGAAAGCGAAAGGTACAAAGCTCAGACTTGCCTAAAACCCTTTAAAATACAAGCACAGATTATTAATTAAAAAACCGAAAGAGATCAGTGAGTAACTTTGTCCTCCCCTTTTAAAATATCTTACTTTCCATATCAGTTCCTCTTTTGTTTTCAAACACAAAACAGAAATTTGTAAATGCATCAGTATCAATACAAAGTCACCTCAAATTTTAGAGGCTCCCCCATTTCCCAACAGGAAGAATCAATAAGAAAAGTATTCGGTCAACCTGAAAATATAAAAAAATATGAATATAGTTTAATGTACGAAATGCCTATTATGATATTTAACCTATTAGTTACACGTACATACTGAAAATAGTATATGAAAGTGTCAATTTAGAAATTTCACTTTTTCCCACTTTCATTTTATGAAACAACTGAATTGTAAGTCTTCACATGCACAGTCAACGCGTCATCTAACACTACTTTGCAGAGCACATCACCATTATTTTTACCCAAGTTGTTTGAATACCTATAGCGCTGTCATTAGGGGCCTCATTATCTTGTTAGATGCCTTTGTGTGAGCTGGGAAAAAGCATCTTTCCTGGGACAGACACAGGCCAAAGAGGTGCAAGGTGCCACTCACCCCCAAGGCCAGGCTCTTGTATGTCACAGGGAGGAGTATTTCAAGCCACAAATATCCATTTATGTATAACATCAGAGCAGTTTGTTTATTCTTCCCTGTGTGTATTTTCATGATCTCTATAATACAACCACTTCATATTGCTTTTTACTTTTTAGTGATCGATAAAAAGCTTGCTTATAAATACAGTATCTATAGCCAACATATGTAGTTAGGTCATAGCCCCGAATAATGACTAGATCTGTGTTAACTCTGCCTCCTTTTCAACGATTCCAAATGAGCATGGGCTTAAGATTCAAGTAATTGAGAGAGCACTTTGTTATATGACAGATTTTATAAGGACAAGAATTTAAGGTGACTTCTCATTTTCTCATAAATAAATTGGGGGGCCACCTTATATTTAGGGATATCAAAGTTCTTAAAATATCAAAGTTCTCCCCCATCCTCTTAGTGGTCTTTAAACATTTAAAATTTCTGGTAGTAGAATAATTGAGCAGCTCCAATATACCTTATAAATTATAATATATGCACCACCATTACTAATATTCTATATATATTTTACAAAAAATGGACATTTTCAAAAGGCTTGTAATGATAAAATAAAGAAGACATAACAACAACCAATATTTTTTAAATAATTATAATTTGTTCCTAGCATTAAGCAGAGGCCCTCGTAGTTCTGAGAAGGTGGATGGAATAGGAGGCAACACAACTGAGACTCACAGGACAGGCAAGGGTTGAGTACAGAGACATGTGGTCTGAAGGGCATTGCAACTGAAGGTGCAGTGTGGGCAGAGGCCCAGAAGTGGGGGGAACAGGACATGGATAGTGAACAGGTTTGGTGGGAGAATAAGGTAAGTCCGGGAGGGTAATGAGAGAGAAGATGGGAGGGACAGGCTCACTCGGACTGAGAAGGGTCTTTAATCCTTGATTAAGGGCTGTGGCAGGCAATGGGCATCAGTGGTACATATCTGAGCAGAGGCCACGATGTACTGTTTTAGGAAGCTTAATCAGACTATAATGTACAGAATGAGATGGGGCTGCAAATTCAAATGCATTCAGGAGCCAGGCAGAAAAAATAAATGCGTAAGGGCGGCCATGAAAAACAAGGAGTCCTGGGCCAAGAACTGGAGAGGACACGTCCCGCCCAAAGGCACGGAAAATAAAATTGCTTAAAGATGTCTCACCAACCAAACAAAATAAGTCTGTTAGCCATATTCAGCTGCATGCTGCCAGTTTAACCAATTCTGGGAAGCAAGGTAACCACTTAGAGAACTACCCCATTGAAGACTAGAGGCTAGGGCCTCAATCAGGCAGAGAAGTGAGAATGGAGGAAACCAGGTAATTTCAAGGCAAGCTTCAGAAATCAACAGAATCTGGCAACTTGCTGAATGGGGATTACGGGAGGAAATCAGAGGTGAGACTGAAGTTTGTGCCCAGGTGACTGTCAGGATGGCAATGCCATTAAACTCAGAAACACGTAAGATAGGGCAGGATTGGGAGGGGTGGTGATTTGAGTTCTTAACCCGCTGAGTTCAAGGAAATAAGGGGAGACCTGGGTTACATTTCAGGCACTTACAAATGTAGGGATGGAGTCTGAGAAGGAATTCAGACTAGAGATCCAGATTTGAGATTCGTCTGCAGTTACTGGAGAGCAGGGGAGGTGGGAGAGAAGCCTGGACACACCAGTTGGCTCCACTCTTACGCTGAGGGCAGGGACCTTCCGTTTATGTGAACGACTGTCATAGAGTAGATACTTTATTAACATATGTGGCATGGGTCTTGTTCACTTGTATCACTCAGAATACCTGGCTCACACCTGTACTCAAGCAGGAAGTGCTTGCCCAATGCAGAAACTAGCAAGAGAACTAGAAAACTATAAAGTACCAGATAAGTTAAATCACTGGAGGAGACACACACAAGGTGAGTGTGTATGTGGGGGTAGGGGGTTGGGGAGTGAGGGTCTAAAACAAATCTCCAGCTTAAAAGCTCAAAAAATTAATTTTAATGTAAGGTGCAGTCTCCTCTATGCAAATAAAAAATACTGTAAATATTTTGTAAATATTTTGTAAATACTGTAAATATAGTGTTTTCTAGGATATATTTTAGCCATTGCTACCTTTGGGTAGAGAGGCCTAGACCTCTGGGGTGAGGAAGTTACCTTCCCTTTGAATGCTTTGCAACAGCTGCAGTTTCTTACTCTGAAAATTTACTTTCTTTTGCTCAGGGGTTCTTTGAGCACTGGGATTATGGACTATTCTTTTTCATACTTTAATATTTTAAAAATTCCTAATAAATGTTATACGTATTTCCCACTGCATCCAGAATATATCCACCTTTCACACTTTCCAATTACGCCTCCAACCAGCGTTTCCAGTTTCCTCTCCCAAGACTCACAACCGCCCTCACTGCAGCTGCCAGAGCCGCTCTCACCCTCACTGCACAGCGCAGTCCCTCTCGCTGCCAAGTTCTCCTCCATCCACCCCGCCCCACCTTCCCCGCTGCACCCTCCGGGGTGAGGAGGTGCTCCTCCGTGGGCCCAGCAGCGTCCACTCCGGCCCCTGCGCAGCGGGCAGGGGTGGTCTATGAACAGCTTTCCTCAGCTGGGGAGCCTGACCCTCGGTTTCCATGCCGCAGGAATCAAGGAAGTCCAAGAGCTCCACACCACACTCAGAGGAGCTGGTGGGGAGGAGGCGAGCAGAGCCGTGCCGGTGGGGCGGGGCCTCTCCCCCACTTCCCTTCTCCCTCCCCCCTCTCCCTCCCCCTCTCCACCACACGCAGGCGGTGCTCACGCCAAGCCCTGGACTCCCACGCAACCCGTCTCGTCTTCTGAAGGTCCTATGGGCTGTGAAGCACCTTCCTCTCTCTCCTTCCTCTCCGCCTAGTTCTTATTACCATAGGACGACCTTTGCATCTGTCTTCCCTCCCTACACATTCTGCTTCCCGGAGGCAGGGGTTTCATCCCATCTGTTCACGGCCCGCTACCTGAAGCCTAGACTGGTGCCTAGCATACAGACTCGTGACTTGAGAGTAGACGCTCCCCCAAAGTTTGTGAAGTACGAGGACAGGCAAGGGCGTCCTGGGCGTCTGCGCCAGGCGGTCCCCAGGGGCGGGCACCGCAGTGGTTTGGGTAGGGACGGCGCTCGAGCCCCCGGGACCGGAATGGGGTGTTGGCAGAGGGCCAACTGTCCCCTGGGCTGCCCACCCAGCGCCCTAACACTCTCCCTGGGACTTCCCGGGGGCCAGGAGCCGGGTAAGGATAAGTCACTCCGTGGTCTCCTCCCACAGGCCGCAGACACCGCCCCGACGCGCGGCTGCTGGGCGCGCCGGGCCCCGGAAGGAGCCCCCCGACAGCGACCGCCGCGCCCGGGCGCGTACCTTGGGGGCACTTCTCGTAGTAGTACTGCTGCGTGCGGATCCAGCGCCCCCACCAGGTGGTCGCGCACCGTGTGCGCCAGCGCGAAGAAGTATCGCGGGGGGGTGGCCACATTGCGGTCCT